TTGGGACTGGAGCTTAACTTTTCCCAGGTGTGGTGTCAACATCTGTAAGATGGGGGTACACATAGCTTATGGTCTCTGGAAGGTTTAAATTAGATGATCGATGTAACACCTGCAGCTCTGTGAGAGTCAAGTTTACAGCAGTGCAGTCTCAGGCCACACTTTTACAAGTTATGTCCCTCTCCTGACTCCTTTTGCCATCCACATTCCCTAGGTCCTTAAGCAAGGTTTACCTGCTCGCCTAGGCCCCCTACCTTGCCCTCTTGCTTTGGCATTCTCTTTGGGGGCTTTCCCCAAAGAGCTCTTAGTGGGTCTGGACCACCATAAGAGCCACGCCGAGGCTTGAGGCACCGTGTTGAGTGGAATGGACTGAGAGGTTCTCAGGGATCATCAGCTGAATTGAAAGGGCAGCTTTGGGGTTTGGTGAGGAGGAAGGGTGTTAGGACTGGAATCAAGGAACTTTGCTGTATTTGAATCTTGAGAGAACACAGATACGGGATGTCTATTGAAGATGCCCTTCCATTATTTTATAATAGGTGAAATGAATGACTTTGTGAGACCCTCAAGCTGTAGCCTAAAGGGCAGAGAAAGTCAAGCCTGACCGTTTTAGAAGACAGGGTCTCACTATGTAGACCAGGCTGGCCTTGAACACACAGACATGGTCTCCCTCAGTCTTCCCAACTGCTGTGATGCGTCAGTCCCCCTTTCCATCCCCTGCTTGAACTGACCTTGACCACTCTTGGCTCTCACCCACCAGATTGACAGGCTCTGCAGTGTAGTCAGGTGAGCCTGCTCTGCCTTCTCCATGCCCACCTGTCTATACGCCAAGAGGAGATGACCTCTGTGTTCTATGCCAGGGGTGCCCTTGACCTCCACCTCCCTGTTTGGATAGCCCAGAGATGGAGGAGGCAGTCCCCTCGGCTTGTCTCCTCTGGAGTTGTGCCGCTACGGGATGCTCGTTGCTTTTCCACTGCCACATCCACAGCCTTTCAAGACTCCCCTGGCTGAGCATGTTCCCTGTCTCTGCTGGACTTCTGGCTGATACTGCGCATTTTAAGAAGGGTGACCTTGAAGGTCTCTTTATTTTCACACTGATGAAGGTCCTGACACACAGGTTAAGAAAGGAAGGTGTCAGTGAGGTAAGTAAGTGAGAGGATAGGGTCAGGTTCCATTTACCTTCAGTGTTCACAAAAGGCCCCCACCTTAGGCACTTGTCTGTTTTATGTTCCGAATAGAGGGTTCTGCCCTGAGTCACAGCCTTAATCTTACAGAGCAGAAACAAAAAGAGCACAGCAGATAATCACCCTTTCTGCCTCTTGTTAGTTTTATCTGTATGGATGATGTTTTGGGAGCTTTAAAGAAAGGTTTGAGCCTTGCAGACCTAGGATGCAGCTGTCTCTGCTCTGCAGGACCTCAGGTTGTGAGAAGTGGGGAGATGAGCATCATGGGTGTGGAGACAGCCTTAGGTGATCCAGGAAGAAGGGTGTGATTGTGTGTCTGTGCGTGTACGCGCGTGCGTGTACACACCCACGCACACACACATGCATTCAGGGCTTTCAAAGTTCATAGCCTGGGAGACAGGGCAACTGGGCAGTCACATGAGAGAGAGGGGAGGAGAGTCTTATTTTGGTGTGTGGTGCTTTCATGCAGATTTGGGGAGAATTTGAAAGTTTTAGGTTCATGCTCCTAGTGCAGTCTCTGCGAACTGTTTGTAGAGCAGGAAGAATTCAGTTCCTTCCTTTTCTCTTCCTTCTCCTCCTTCTTTTCTTTCTTCTCCAGGAAGCTCCCTCTCCCTCCTCCCTTGAGTAAGGTGGGGAGTGGCTGAGCAAGACTATCCAGTCCTGCTGCATACTATCTTTTAGAAATGAGAAGAACTTCCACACTGAGAGGACTATTTGGAGCGCATTTCAGCTGTGTGCACTGCGCTCACCCTGTTGTGTAGCTCTGATTGGTCAGCTCTCCACACTTGGAATTCCCACAAAGAAACCCCCAAGTTGAGCTCATTTGTAGCCCCTGTGACCCCTTGCCTGTGTTCCGCTTCTGTGGATATTTTATATAAGTGAACTCATACACTATGTGGACTCAAGTGTCTGGCCTCTGTCATCATTTTAAGATCTAGCCATGTATCAGGAGTCAGTACCCCATTCCTCTTTGTGGACCAGTGATTTTTCTGTTGTATGGCTTGCACTTTTGGTTGTGTAGATAGTACTTCTGCAACACCTCCAGCAGCTTCCTGGTGCAAAGGCTCCCGGCATCTGGAGCCCCTGGGAAGGGAAGGGATGGGGGCGGGGGGGGGGGGGGGGGGGGGGAGGGGGAAGCTCCCAGTGAGAAGGGAGCACGGCTTGAAGTTTGACAAGCCCCTTATCTGTTCACACCTCAGGGTCTGCTTTCTGCCCAGAGGGAAGAAGCAGGCCTTTCAGGTTCTCTTTTGTCTCCCTAGTATCTGTGATCTTGGCTTGTGTAACCTGAACCTTATATGCTACCTGGGTGGACTGAGGACTCTGAAGGGGCCTGAGGAATGCTTACTGCTTTCCCTGTGGGGGTGGAAACTGATGTGGGGGATACCTGAGGGAGGGGACTTTTTTCTGCAGGTAACTTTGGTCTGCTGTTTTTGAGCCTGAGAGTGTCAGTCTCTGTTATCTCAGCACCAGGCATAACCTGGCTTTTACTTCCTTCTGGAAGGATGACCTTTCTGTTGCTGGCATTTTAAAAGCATGTGTGAAGTGCCCACCTGGCCAGGTGTCTTCTTAGCTGGTGTGGAAGAGGATGGGGTGGGACTGGCCTGAACTGGGCTCCTGTCTGTGCTCATCATTGACCTGAGCTGATCCCGGGAGAGGAGTAATGGGCCAGTCAAGATTTTTACTGTACAGTTGAAGGTTAAGGCAAACGTCAGTTTACCTCATTCTGTTTGTGAACCAGTGTGACTTTCCTTCAGCAGACAGTGCAAAAGCAGGTAGCTGAGTGGTAAGTGTTGGTGTAGTGGCACAGGGAGAGCAGAAACCCGGCCCTGCCTGCCTCAGCACCAGGCACAGAGCATGCTCACTCTGCTTGTCTGTCTGTCTCTCCCTCCTTCCTTCCTTCCGTTCTTTCTTTTTATTATTATTTTTGTTAAGACTGGAAAGGAACATGCTGATGTAATATCTTTTATAATTAATTTTTAAACCTTCACTGATCCCTAGTGTATTTCCACGTTAGGTGGCAGAGCTGCTGGTTATACACAGGTCCTCTGTAATTGAGCACCAGGCTTCAAATCCAGGCCCTGCCACTCACCTTCTTACTAATGAGTTGTTTGGAGCATTGAGTAGTGTTGGAGAGCCGTTTAGAACATATCTGGTAGTCAGCGCTCTGTGACTTGAACACACGGGGACTCAGCTGTGTTCCCTTTTCCTCATCATGTGATTTTACCTGTGCCAGTGACTTAAGGTACACAAGACCCAGACCTAGAAATACCACACCCTGCTTTTGCATACATCCTTGTTTGACATCCCCTGCCACCATTGCACCCAGGTCAGGTGTACCATTTGTCTGTTTCCCTAAGGCGCAGCTGCCTCTCTGCTTTTCTCTGGGATAACAAGGCTGTTGGCTGCAGCCCTGGCATTTCAGAGGAGTGCTGGGCTCTTGTAGGTGCTTCATGCTGGCATGTTGTGGTAGTGCTCTCTGTCTCAAGTTACTTTTAGACTTACCTTATTTCCCTTGCTTTCCAGCAAACAGTTGGAGGGCAGGATGCAGGTCTTTTAGGATTTCAGGTGGTCCTAAGATGAATGAATTCCAGGAGGGACAAAAGCGTATAGATACCGAGGAGAGATGTACCGTGGGCAGGTGCCAGGACTCAACCTTCCTAATGTGTGGAGGTTTTGTAGTTAAAGATTGTTTTTAAGTACTGGGCAAAATATGCTTGCTTTCTTGTGCTAGCCGTGAACTTGTTTATTTTCCTTCCTCTCCTGGGACCCATCCCAGAGGCATTGATTGATGTATTGCCTGACCTTGGGAATGCCTTTGCTCCTCCTCAGCTTGCTTGTTCTTTCCTGTGGCACTTTTGAGCCTGCGATATGAACTGTGTTCCTGCTCATGTGGAGGAGACAGTGGCAATGGAGGGGGAGGGTGCTGAGTTTTCCTGGGTGGTTACTGAAGAGACTTTTGAATGGGTGACATCTTAGGCACCTAGAAAAGAGGAAAGAAAGTTTTGTTGGCACTGTCCTTTTGTAAGAGGGAATAAATATGTAAAGTTTCTAAGGGGGAAATTAGTTTCAAGAATGTGAATGTCACCAAGAGTAGAGAGCTTGCTGGGTAGGTAAGGTAGACTTTAATTCTAAGGATGGTTGTAAGTTGCAGGGCATTTCTCTTCTTTTTATTATTTTCTTTTTCACAATCACCATACTTTGGAAATTCCAATTTCCAAAAGCATGTATTTAAGAAACAACGAAACATACAACTGCAAATTACATTATATGTTGGGGAAATGATTTATGGCATGGTCTTTCTTACCCCAAATGGAATATTGACATTGTCAACTAAATCATATTTCACTCCTTCTCAAAGTAGCATACCAGATGATTTAAAAAAAAAAAAAAAGACTGCCGTCAGCTGATAGACCGAATAAGGTGAACGATCCAAGCCCCCTGACTTTCCATTTCAGGCTTTACCAGTCTGCTGGCTCTGGACTTGGCTGTGGGAAGAGCCTTTGGTCTCGATTTCCATTTGTTCTGGCTCAGACAAACTTGGTTTGGCTTTTGTGTCTGCTTCAGTTCATCTCACAGAGGCAGGAGGGAGAACTGGCTTTTGGAGCCCCTAGAAGTCAGCAGCCTCATGGCCTCCACAGTTAATCCTGTGTCATTGACTTGAGCTCTCCCTGTCTTTAAAGTTCCAGACACACTGACTGTGGCCGCCATCCTTCCACAAATTCAAAGCCCACTCCCATTAACAGGTCCCCAGCTGGTCTGTTTCTGATTTGCATTTCCATGGCTGAATGAATCTGCTGACTTCCCTTTTCTCTTCCATTACAGGTCCTGTGCACAGGTGCAGGTGCGGGTGAGTACCTCGCTCCTTCCCATTCTTTCTTGTGTTGTTTGCTATTGTCCCCTAGTGGTCAAAACGCTCACAGAAAACTGTGAAAGCCCACTTACTTTCTGCTTTTCCTTAGAAGCCAAGTGAAAGTAGAAGCAGCAAGTGAAAAGAGAGTCAGTTTTTCAACCACAGCTATAAAAATTCTGTGTTTTCTGAGCTACGTGGGGGTGTACTCCTGCAGTTTCCACTCCTTGGGAGACTTTGTTCGGCCAGAGGTCTCTTGAGCTAGAGAGTTTGAGAGAAGCCTGGGGGACACAGTGCAACCACCAGTTCATAAAAACATTGGGCTTTCTATGAATTCCTCTTTCCAGCCTATCCCCGTGGGTGAGAGAAATGAATTAAAACTGCAGCAGTTATTTTCCTATTGCATGTGCTGTTATTCTGCAAGCACTTTTTTGTGTTACTGTTTGGCCTTTAAAATATGGTGTTGAGGATTTTTCAAATCTCTTCAGAAGCAGAGACAGCCTCCTTTGGTTTTTAGTATCAGCCTGGGGATGGGGCTTTAGCTCATGGTTGGGTACTTTCTCAGCATGTATGGAGTTCAGGGCTCCATCCTTAGAACAGTAAAGCAGAACAGAATCCTGTCCCCCTGAGTCCGAGGGTGGTGTGGAGGACCGAGCTCCAGCCATGGCTAGGTGCTTTCTTTCCTTGCTCTACAGGAAGACAAGATAAATATGCTTTTCTGACGATCTAGTAATGATGGTTTTTATAGCTAAATACATCCATCTGAAAGCAATTCTGGGATCAGATCATTACTGTTGGGGTTGGAGAGATGGCTCAATGGTTAAGAAGCTGGCTGCTCTTCCAGAGGACCTGGGTTCAATTCCTAGCACCCACATGGACCTCATAACTGCCTGTAATTTCAGTTTCAAGGAATCTGACACCTTCACACAGACATATATGCAGGCAAAACAGGAATGCACATGAAATTAAAGTAAATAAATTATTTTTAAAAAGACCTTACTGTTTCTGTAGAAGAATAATAGTAGTTAGTATTTTAAAAATGCATATTCTTTTGGAAAAAATTGGTAGCTTTTGTCTCTAAAATTCAGGAACATTTTTTTCACTTCTTACTGGATAAAAAACATCCTAGAGCCTAGGATTCCTTGAGATATGATTAGCTTGGTCTCATTGTGCTATGCAAAGTGGGACCAATCTACTGAACCCTTCTAATAAGGCAAATCTTCGTTAGCAACAGTAATATGCAAAGGTTTTTACAAATAACGGGGAACCACACAGGTGGTATCAGATAAGCTAGTAGGCGGCTAGTAGGGAGCTGGAGTCGCTGGTCTGCAGAATCCGACCCCAGAGCTATGCCAGTCACTGTCCATAGTTTATTTTCTTATAATTGAGGAGCTTCTCTTTGCACACAGGTGGCTGTTTTCTTCCTGTGTCATCACGGGACTCCCCCCCGCCCCTATGCCTGTATACTAATGTGCTCTTCTTAAAAGTGTAGCAAGCTTTCTTGTCGGACTATCTTTGGATCACCAGCCCAGATAATGACCTGGAGACTTCTTATTAATTATGAAAACTTGGCCTTAGCTTTGGCTTTTTCCCAACCAGCTCTTAGAACTTAATCAACCTTTTTTTTTTTTTTAAATCTATGTTCTGCCACATAGCTTGGTTACCTATTCTTAGTGTTGCACATTTGACTGAGTCTGCTGGCGAAGTCTCCCATCTAGTTTTCTCCTCCTCCTCCTCCTCCTCCTCCTCCTCCTCCTCCTCCTCTTTCTCCTCCTCCTCCTCCTCCTCCTCTCCCCTCTTCCCTCCCTGGAAGTCCTGCTTATTTTCTCTGGCCTAGCAGCTGACCATTCAGCTTTTTATTAAACCTATCAGAAGGCATCTTAGGCAGAGACATATCTTTACAGTGTACACAAATATTTTGTAACATATGAGGGCATCTATTTTATTGCAAGAGGCCACACCCTTATGACCTCTCTTGAACTTAACTCCTTGATACACACTGTCTTGCAAGCACACACATATTTGGAGGTACTGATGTTTAATATTTTAATGTATGGTTTTTGGGGATGACACAATTTAGCCCATAACATACAGGATTTAGGCTCAGCCTCCAGAATTGGTTTTTGGATTAAGGTTATAGACCTGACCCGTCTGTAGAGTCACTGTGATAGGCAGCAGGGTGAGTAACTGAGAAGATGTTTTTACCACCACATTCAGAAGGTATCTTAGTTGGGATTTATAGTGTTGTGAAAAGATACCATGACCACAGCAGCTCTTACAAAGTAAACATTTAAGTGAGGTGCTGGCTTACAGTTTCAGAAGTTCAGTCCATTACCATCATGGCAGGGAGCATGGTGGCATGCAGGAAGACATGGTGCTGGCTACATTTTGACTAGTAGGCAGTAGTAGAAAGTTGACTGACTGTCACACTGAGTTGAGCTTGAGAAAAAGACCTAAAGGTGACACACTTCCTCCCACAAGACCACACCTACTCCAACAAGGCTGCACCTCCTAATATTGCTACTTCCTTTGGGGAACATTTTCTTTCAAACCACCTCAGAGGGTGTGATGGTTGTGTAACCCCAGCTTGACTACCCACACTGCTTAAGTAAGGATGAAGGACTGAGTTCTAATTATAGTGTGTACCAAGGAGACCTGAGAGACATATCCAGGTATTTTCTCCATCGGCTGCAAATACACATTTTTCTGCACTGGAGATCGAGCACTGTCTGGGATAGACCTATGCTAGGCTACAAAATATATCTTACAAGTTTAATAATTCTGAGAGCTCTGCAAGTATTTTTCAAAATCAAGGAAAACTAGAAATAAGTTAATAAGAACTTGGGAAACTTTACAGATGTTTGGAAATTAGCAACACACTTTCAGATAAGCAACAGTGTAAGAAAAAAGGAATTAAAACATTTGAGAGGAAGACTATATTTCAAGACACACAGGATATGACAAAAACATGTCCTAAGAGAGAGGTTTATATTAATGAATGGTTTTGTTAATTCCTCCATAAAAGATTAGAAGCCCATTTCAACAACACATTAAAGACTGTTCATTGTGATCAAGTGAGATTCATTCCAGGGATTTAAGAATGGTTCTTAGCATGTCTTTTTGCTACTGAAAATGGCGCTGTAGCTGTGCTCTTGCAGGTGAGCTGAGTAAGTGGGAAGTGCACATTCTGGACTGATAGATAGCATGTCGGGGAATTGCTGACGGGCGCTGCCGATTTACTTCCTGATTTACTTCCTCCTCTGCTGTAGTTGCCACTTTGTTCTCATCCCCATTATCACTGCTTGCAAATGGCAGCACCCAGTACTGATGTGAACTTTGTAGAGGAAACTCATGACTGAAGATGATCCCTCAAGTGTTTCATTTTTCTTTTTCTTCCTGTCCTTTCTATAAAGTGGATAACTTTATACCTGCCCCGAGGTGAGGCACACCATCCCATTCATGCTGGGGTGTTACCTGTGGTTTCCCCAGCACCTTAAGATTAAGGCTTTACTTTGTGTTTTGCTGTTCCTGGGCATTACTCCTCAATCTTGAACTTAACTAGGGTACATGCACTTGCTAGTGTCACTGTGAGTAACCATGTGGCTTCCATTGGTTTGGGATTTGCATACCTGGCATTGTACCAAGGATGAAACTGATAGCCTAAGAGTTGAGATGACTTTGAATAAAATTATATGACCAGGGGCTTTAATGCCTTGTCTGTTTTGTCATGATGGCTTACTAACCCTTCACAGTTAGGATGGAGCAGTTTTAAGGGGATCACTCCAAGTCACTCAGTAAGTTGGTAGAATAGGCAGTTTCCCAGACTTCTTTTGCATCTTAGATCTCTCTGTCTCAGCTAATGTCAAAATTCAAATCTATGTTAAACTCGTAGCCAACGTGGCTAGTTTCTATTTGTTTTGTCTTTGGTTTAGGGACGTATTCACATGCATGAGTACACGTGTATTTGGATGTATTTTATTTCAGGAAAGTCAAAGAGGCAAATGAAGAGAAATGAAATTGAGTTCTGAAAGGTAGACATACAAGGTAGGCTTTATTCTTATATTTATTACATGTAATTAATCTCTCTCTCTCTTCTATATTTAAATAGCTTTGAGCCCTGTATTTGACATTGAAGCTGTCTCTAGCCCAACCAGTGTGGAATTAACATGGAGGCTCAACGATTCAGCGGTTTCAGGGTACACTTACAGAATAGAGAATAAGATGGAAAAGAATCTGACGTTTACTACTGAGAAAAACCAAATGTCATATAACATCACAGGCTTAAGTCCAGCTACTTTCTATACATTCTCCATCACTCCAATAGCAGCCAATCAGACCTTCGGACCCACGGACAAAAATGTCACAACAGGTAAGGGACAAGGAACATAGCTGGTGGCTATAGTAGCAGTAATATGGGAAGGGAAGGAAAATGTCTTTATTCACGTTAGAGTCCTTAGGACAGGATTCTGTGGAAGAGATCGCATCAGACACTGTGCGTGACAAACATTATTTTGTCCTCATAAAACCTGAGGCTGAAGGTAAAAACTGTGATATGGAGGAGTTAACTTTCTTCTAAGGTTCCTTAATACTGGATATTAAGCAATTGAATTGGAACCTGGAGAGCCTGATTCTAGCTGTCAGAGTACCATGGTATCCAGACAGCCACCAAAATCATTAAATTTTCTAGTTTATTGGTGTTTAATTCTTTAATAATAAAGACAGAGAACAGGGGTTGTAGCTCAGTGGTATTGGTGTTTGGATCCTCAGTACCCATGTGGTACGTGCTCGGTGGGCACGGAGGCCTCCATGTAGTCCCATTTAGCTACAACACCCAGCAGCCCACAGTGACGTAATTTAGAAATCTTTGCATCTAGATATCCAATGTGAGAATTCAGATAAAACGTTGATCAGTCACCTCATGCCATAGCTGGAAGCTGCCTTAGGAGTGCTTTGCAGTCAGCTCCCTGAGACCTCAGGCAGGGGTCTTCTCTGGAACACCATCACTTTTGCCTTATCTGCTTCTCTGCATTCTGGTCTCTCCACCGAGCACACCAGCAGTGTGTGCTCTTGAGCGAGTCGTCCTGCCCCTCTGGTCTCCTTGTTCTTCTATCACAAAGTAAAGGGAGCAGTGCTGGGTGTGGTGGGATGCTTGTAGTTCTAGCGCTCACGAGGCAGTGGTGAGAAGATTGTTGCACATTTAAGCCCAACTGGGCTACATGGTGAAACCAACTTATCAAGCAATAAAACAGTCACAAAAATTAAAAGGGGTGTATGTTTCTTATGGTGAAATGGTTTAATTCATGTTCCCATCCAGTAAATAAGGTGATGTGAGGGCCTGGGCAAGTCTTTTAGAAAATTTCCTTAGCATTGGATGTCTCCTGGGTTAGAATATCTGGGCATTATAAAATCATATTGTTTACATTATTTTGAACTGAGACATCTAGATTTAGAAACAGTTATTTTTATATGCTTTATTTTTAGTGTCTAAAATAAATACAGTTAAATGCCACTGTGTGGGAGAGTATTTTAAAGAATTTCAAGTTCCTATTGGAGTTAGTCTTGAACAGTGACACAGAACATAAGCAGTTTTGATTTTAAGGTTTGTTCCTTCTCATCTTTTCAGAAAGTGTTTGTCCCCTGCCCCTGTGATGTCGTGGGGACGTTTAGGTTGATACAAATGAAATATGGGTCACTTTGAAGTGGCACCGATGTAAGAAAAGATGATTGCCGATACCTCTTCCACTAATACTACCTTTGTGATTTTGAACAGAACCTTTGCCGGTGACTGATCTCCGAGTTGCCTTCATGGGTGTGACGCAGGCCCTTCTCACCTGGAGCAACACAGATGGCTCCGCCTCCTACCGGATGCTTCTTGAAAGCTTTGGAAACTCCTCAGAGTTGACTCTACATTTACCCATCAATTTTTCAGGCCTGACGCTGGGGGCCCAGAGTAACTGTTCTTTCCCAGAATCAAAGGAGACACAGAATGACTTACTGGTTACAGAAGGTGTGTTACAGAATTGTGCATCAGGTTCTGAGTGTATCTTACTGGATTTTAAAGCATACTGTTCATGTTTTTGTGTAGGGTCTTAGAATCGCTGGAGGGCTGTAGTCTGAGCTCATACATTTGTGAAAAAGAAAGAGGGCTCATGTTTTACATGTGAACACGGGGCTCAGTATGGTGGTAGGGCCGGAAACTTTTGGATTTTGGAATTCAGGAAAGTAGGTAGTCCTTTTAAATTTTTCCTCAGGTGAACAGATGCCCAGTGCTAACCTAAGGATGGTCCAAGCCGTCTCTTCACTGAGGCAAACAGCAGATGTCCTTTGTAGTTTCTTTGGAGTTGTTTGTAGACTTTGTAGTGTTCCTAGTGGACTCCTCGGTAACTGTGAAATGAGGAGGGAGGGAGACTCAGTCTCCATTTTGCATCAAGGAAACAGAGATACAAATTGGGGATTAGAGTCAGAAATCAGATGTTAAATGCTAGGAATGAAAGATAATTTATGGCCCTGACAGGTCATCAAGCCTTCAGAAGATGCGCCCCTCTCATGTCTTCTCCTGCTTTGGTCTATGTGACAAGTTGCTTTTCAGGGAGAAATGGTCATGAGCTTTTCCCGTTTCATCCCCTGCTATCCCTGCCACCCTCTCAGGTGTGGTCCTGGCGTGGCCTGTGGTAGCTAAGGTAGAGTTATGGAGTGGTGGAAAACCATGTCCCAAAGAGAGGAGAATGGACCAACATATCAGAGTTCAAAGAAAGATACAAAATATCCATGGTGTTTCTGGGGTAATAGTACACAGTGAACTAATCTGGTTCTTTTCAGGGAACCGGATCTTTCTCAGGAGGAGGCAGAGAGTAGATATTTATGGAGTACCAACTGTGGGCTTGTTAGATGTGTCATTCTATGGGATAGGGTGGTGAAAGGTGGGGGATATATCTTTTTAATGTCTTTGCCTCCTGTGTTTGAAACAGATACCAATGGTAGCAAGAGAAGCCCAGTGGCCATCCTGTGCCAACTCCACAGGAACTTTCTCGACTCCGTAGACCCTTCTTCTGTCCAGGGTCCCTCCCTAGAGGTCTTGCTCACTGGGCTAAAGCCGGATACTGACTACAGTGCCGTCGTTTACTCTCAAGCAGCAGACGGCACAGAAGGACAGCCTGGGAATAAAGAAGTGTTTACAACAAGTAGGTTGGATTTTGCGAAATGGCTTCAGCCTGAGCCTCCCACAAAAAGTTTTATCTTGTGCAGTTCTGTCTCTCTGGATTATTTCTCTTAGCAGTTAGTTCTGTTATTAGCAGGATCTTTCTGAGAGAGATTTTGGATAGATCCCGTGCACTGAGTTTCTACTTACCTCTGTGGCCATGACGTATCTGTTGTGAAACTTAGTAAAGCATTGAGCAGGGGTGTAGATGCGGGCTGCCACCTCACCTCTGTATCTGCGGATTAGCCAGAGAGCTTCTGTTTGGGCCTGCCCTTGGGATTCATATTGAACTTTCTGTCAAGACACTTGCTGGCCTTCACATCACTATCATTAGCTGTGATTCATAGGCGCTCCCTCTCTTGAGTTCAGTATTTGGAAGTTTTTGTGATTGGTACTAATGATGGAATAAGGAGATGTATGGTTCCTGGTCTTGGAGATTTTTCATATGGATGGGGGCTTGAGATAAACATGCATGGAAACACCTGCCTGTGGGCCCTTTGACCTCAGGAACAGACCACAGCTTCGCAGCTCTCAGGGACTTGGTGTGCACTGACTTAGCAGAAAATATTTTGAAAGACTGCCCTAGGTCAGCAAACTTAAGTGGGTGAGGGTGAAGGCTGGAAGAGCAAGGACAGAAGACAAGCTGGCATCCAGGAGGTGTGGGGCCACCCTAGATCTGGTGATGAATTCTGAGTCCCCAGTTAAATGTTGTGTGTCTGCTTGGTGAATGGCTGTGCTGGATGAGGAGGTGTTGACCCTTGGCTCTCACGTGAGTGACTTGCAGCAGTTCCTCCCACCAAGAATGTTGGGTGCCGCTTTGAAAGGGAGTGGGGCTACTGCCCAGGTGGTCCATGGCTACTGCCCAGGTGGTCCATGGCTACTGCCCAGGTGGTCCATGGCTACTGCCCAGGTGGTCCATGGCTACTGCCCAGGTGGTCCATGGCTACTGTCCAGGTGGTCCATGGCTACTGCCCAGGTGGTCCATGGCTACTGCCCAGGTGGTCCATGGCTACTGTCCAGGTGGTCCATGGCTACTGCCCAGGTGGTCCATGGCTACTGCCCAGGTGGTCCATGGCTACTGCCCAGGTGGTCCATGGCTACTGTCCAGGTGGTACATGGCTACTGCCCAGGTGGTCCATGGCTACTGCCCAGGTGGTACATGGCTACTGCCCAGGTGGTCCATGGCTACTGCCCAGGTGGTACATGGCTACTGCCCAGGTGGTACATGGCTACTGCCCAGGTGGTCCATGGCTACTGCCCATCCTGCCGTCCTCTAAATGCTGAGGACATTGGGAGGCAGGAGCACGGTTTTAACATCCAGTCCTGAGGGAGGGTCTGTTACAGGGAGGATGGTAGGTCTTGGATAAATGGAGGTGGGGTAGATGGAAAGAGGACTCCTGTTGAAGTGTTCTGATCAGAAATACAGATGACAGACCTGGGACATGAAGGCAGAAGTCAAGGGAATAGTGGGAGTGGTGGTGGCAAGGCTACTCACCCACCGGGCTCTGATAGATTTATGACTCTGTTTTAAAAACTGTTTAAATATTTATAAAGGATAGCCCTGGATCACAAGCCCCCTATTTCCAACACATGTGTGCATTCACATGTGTGCACACACATCATCTGATATTGTTCACGTGACTGGTTAAGTGGGTCAGGATTAAGTGGCTGGTGGATGACTACCTCCCGAGCTGGAGTGAGGGAGCAGATAGTTTTTCTGGAGCCTGGTGAAAGCAGAAACTGTGGGATGTAAGACCGATTATTCTCGTCAGCCAACTGTCGGGATCCTGCCCATCTCATTCACTAGTGGAGAGTGTTCACAGGCCATGTGGTAGGTGTCCAGTGATGCCATATGTAGGGTGCAGTCTCCTGAAGCACAGGACAGGCAGAGGAAAGACAGGATGGGCTGGGAGAGTAGATAACTGGATGTAACAAGTCTTTTTCTGTCCTGCCAGCCAACTCCTAAATAATGACACAGGGACTTACTAATTATGAAAGCTTGACCTCAGCTTAGGCTTGTTTCTGACTAGCTCTTATAACAACCCATTTCTATTAATAGACATGCTGCCATGTCTTGTGGCTTTTACCTCTCCTGAACGTCCTGCTTCCTCTCCATCTCCTCTGCCATCTCCCCCACCCCTAGATTTAGCTCTTCTTTTTTCTCTGCTCAAAAGTCCCACCTAACCTCTTCCTGCCTAGCTTTTGGCCACTCAACCTCCTTATTAAATCAATCAGAAGACACTTTGGCAAAGTCACATCTTTACAGTGTACAAAAAGCTTATTTCATAGTAACTGGATGACATCTGGTTTTCACGTTGTCTTTTTGTAAGGTTAGGGTGGTTAACCGTGTCACAGCTCAGTGGCTTTCCTCAGGTATACTGACTGGTAGAGCCCAGCTAGCTCCCTGTACTTCATGATGACTAGTGTCTGTTCTTGGGTGAATGTGTACTTGAGGAATTTTCTGGCTCATCCTCCCCTATCTCCTGGGCAGCACATGTGAAAGGAATCTTAGTATCTTTCGAGGTCTGCTCCCAAACTGAATGCAGAGCATCTGTGATGTGAGGTGGCCAGGCTGTGTATTCTCCACTGATGCCCAGCTTTGGTGAGACCCACATACATTTCTGGTCATGGTGAGGTGATGATGAGGGTAACCAATACCTAAATGTGTTCCGCAGGACCAGCGACAGGTCCCGATTGATACTCTCTTCTCTTCTCATTCTGACTTGACCATTCTGATTATTTTTACTCCTCTTGTGTCTTCAAAGATTCCAGCCAGGTTTTTGACATCAGAGCTGTGAACATCAGTGCCACAAACATGACCCTGACCTGGAAGATCAAGTATAACGATGGGTCATCTTTTCCCTACACCTACAAGATACATGTGGCTGGGGGGACTAATTCTATCAATCAAACTGTCAGTAAGACTGAGGCTATCATCTATGGACTCAGCTCGAGCACCTTATACAACATCACAGTACGTCCTTTCCTGGGTCACATCGAGGGCACACCAGGCTTCCTCCAAGTATATACTTGTAAGTTCACTCCCTGGTATCTTGTCTGGTTTTCTTTTCTGTTGTGGTAGTGGTAAAACCAGAGAAATTTGGGGGAAGAAACAGTTCACTTCAGGTTACACTGCTAGGTAGCAAGCAATCCACTCCTCAGGGAACCCATGGAGGAATGCGGCTGTTTGGCTAGCTTTCTGACTGCTCAGCTGGTTTTCTTAAGCAACCTACGCCCACCTTCCCAAATACAGCATGCCTACAGTATGCTGGGCCTGTCCACATCAATCACCAATCAAGACCATTTCTTACAGATGTGGCCATAGGCCAGTCTGGGCAATTATACAACTGAGGTTTCATTTTCTCAGGTGACTCTAGGTTCTGTCAAGTTAACATTAAAAACTAGCCAGCACTCTATAGCTTATGTGCCAGGTCTCAGTACAAGGTGAGGAATGCTGAGCACTGCCTATGGCACCACAGGGCCTCATTTGCCCCTCAGGGTGTGAGATGTAATAACAGTGATCATTGATTGGCCCTAATCATTTGCTCAGTGATGCTTTTGCACTGTGTCACTGAGAGCTTGGACATCCTTGTGGTATGGTTGGTGTTAGTCTTACTTTATGGAAGTGGAAGCCGTGATCGAGATAATGTGGACCGGCATCTCAGCAGGGAACTGACAGAGGTGAGATTAGACCTTTTGGAGTAACATGTTCAAGATAAAGCAGCCAGCCATGGCCAGCACTCATCCTCAGAGCTTGGGAATCCTTACCTCCTGTCACTGGTGACTGACATGGTGTCTACTTTCTGTGGCCAAGTGATCTTTTTTTAGCCAGAAGCACCAGTTTTTTCTGCAGTTGGTGCTCCAGGAAAAGCAAAAGGGAGAACAGGTCAGCTTCTTATGAGGGTTGGCCGCTCTGTTTATACTTTTGTTTTTATAGTCCAAGCTGGTCTTGAACTCGAGATCTTCCTGTCTTACGTTCTCAAGTGCTGGTATTGTGGACAGTGCCACTACTGTACCATGCCTGGAGATGGAGGTTCTTTATCTAATCGTCCTCACTGTCTTCCATAGCCCCTGGTCCGGTTTCTGACTTCCGTGTGACAAATGTCAGCACCAGGGAAATTGGTTTGACTTGGAAAAGCAAAGACTCACAGTCATTTAGGATCCTTGCCATGCAGGAGGGAAGTGAGAAGGGTAACAGTTCTACAACTGGAAGTCAGAGCTTTACCATCAAAGAATTAAAGCCTGGAACCACTTATCATTTTGAAATATTTCCACAAGGACCAGATGGGACTGAAGGGCCATCCAGAACAGTTGATGGCAAAACTGGTAAGCATCCTGATATTGATGTTTCTTACAGGAAGCCGGCATAATTTATAGATGTCTTGTTTTCAAAACATATTTTTCTTTTTATAAAACGAATCTTAAAACATCTCATGACTGTGGTGATGGCGACAGCACAAAAATAAAGTGATGAAGAATCATAATCATATGGAAACCCATCAGTTAGGTGCCCGCTGTGTGTGTGGGGGTCAGAGGATAACTTCCAGGTCCTCTTCTACTCTGGGTTCTGGGAATTGAACTCAGGTTGTCAGACTTGTGTGGTAAGTGCTTTTACTCACTGAGCCATCTTACCAGCATCTCACCCCCTTTTGAGATAGGGTCTTTTATTTTTTATTTTTTTATTTTTTTTGATTTTTCGAGACAGGGTTTCTCCGTAGCTTTTGGCTCCTGTCCTGGAACTAGCTCTGTAGACCAGGCTGGCCTCGAACTCACAGAGATCCGCCTGCCTCTGCCTGGCAGAGTGCTGGGATTAAAGGCGTGCGCCACCACCGCCCGGCTTTGAGATAGGGTGTTACGTGGTTTTCTGACTTACTATGCGGCTGAGATTTGTCTTGAACTCCACTTCACAAATGCTGAGATTAGAGTCACATGCTACCATAGCCAGCTCCCTGACACTTATTTTAAGATGTACACAAACATACATACTTATCCTTTATAAACCTTGCTGTCTTGGTTCATGTGTGGTTTTATAATCTGCTTTCTCTTCACTTAATCTGTGTATTGTAAATATTTCCCCTATTATTGTTATTTATTGAAACAAGGTTTCACTGTGTAGCTCTGGCTGGCCTGGACCCCGCTGACTTTGTAGACCAGGTTGGCTTTGCATTTACAGAAATCAGCCTGCTTCTCAAGTGTTAGATTAAAGGCATGTGCCAACATGTCTGGCAATGTTTATTTCATGGTGTAATTTAAAATCAGCCTTGTATTTGTGTGTGGTTAGTGGTCAGTTCCTTGGAATAGGTGGCGAGAGGGCTTGGCGTACGCCCCAGACACTTAGGGCAACTGTCCATTATTGAATAGTTGTCTTCATTCCTCAGATGTAGTTGAACAGCACTAAAGGCAATCTAGAAAAAGGGAAACAAATGTTTCCTGATCCAGTTTTCTACTTCTTAGTATCTCTCAGGAAGAATTGAAAGCAGGATCTCAAATAGCTGTTTGTACACCATTGTTCACTCACAGAAACCCAAGATAGAAACCACCCACCACCCACTGGCACACAAATAGACAAAATATGACTTTGTTTTTACATAATAGAATATCATTCTGCCTTAGGGAGTGAATCTTCATGTATGCTGCAACATAGATGTAATCTTGTAAATATTAGAAGTGAAATAAGTCACACACAGAAAGATACTTTTATTATTACATTTAATGACAGGGTCTTAGTATGCAGCCCTAGCTGGCCTACAATGTGTGAAACAGAATTGACTGTCTCAAGTTCACAGAGATCCTCCTGCCTTTGTCTCCTGCATGCTGGGGTTAAAGGTGTGTGTCATCACACCCCTAAAAGGCAGGTACTTATGCTTCAGTTTACAGAGCGTCTAGAATAGGCAGGTTCAGAGAGAGAGAGAGGAACTCGGGGAGAGGGAACGGGATGGTAGTGCTGCAAAGGAGGTACAGATTTTGTGTCGAAAATGATGAAAACATTTTGAGTGTGATAATGGTAATGTTTATACAATACTAGGAATATATTTAGCACTGCCAAAATGCACATTGACAGATGGTTAATGATAAATAATATGCTGTGTTTATTTACCATGCTAAAGGGAAGGAGCATATGTAACTCTTAACCACTCTCATATGATTGAATTTCTTTTCTGTCTGCGCGCACAGCCATACCTTTTGTCTACATTGTCATAATTTCACAAATGATTTTATTTTTTATTTGAACGTTTTGCTCTGTGTGTATAATGATACTCCCCATAGCTAGCATGACCTTCCTGCTTTTAGAGAAAGGTTCCATCATGTAAGCATGTTATGGCTTATAAAGTTCTTCCTTTGTTTTCCTCCTTAGTGTGCCGGGCAGCTCATATGAACACACTCTTTTGAGTAAATGGTGAAAAGCAAGCAAACCAACACTTAACTCACTTATTTAGACAGTCATGCTGTGGAGCTCAAGCTGGCCTTGAACTTGAAATCCTCCTGCCTCAGCTTTCACACTTAACTTCAAACACACTCTTTTTTTTTTCTTTAGTTTTTTTGAAACAAGGTTTTTCTGTAGCTTTGGAGCCTGTCCTGGAACTCACTCCATAGACCAGACCAGGCTGGCTTTGAACTCACAGAAATCCGCCTTGCCTCTGCCTTGGATTAAAGGTGTGCACCACCACCACCCATCTTCAAACACACTTTTTATTGAGATACAGTTTAGTTATAAAAAATGTACCCATTCACAGTACATAGCTTGACAGAGTATCACAGGCCAAACACATTAGAATCCCATGGGCCTGGAGAAATGGCTAGTTGTTAAGAGCACTGAATGATCTCCCAGAGGATCTGGGTTTGATTCCTAATACCCACATGCATGCTCACAGCCACCTTTAACTCCAGTTCAGGGGATCCAGTCCCCCTCTTCTGGCCTTCATGGGTACCAGGCACACAGTTTGACCTTTGTGAACTCACTGTTTCTTTTTAAAGTAGGGTTTCACTCTAACCCTGACCTCCACTAGTACACTGGGCCTGAACTCATTGGCGAGTTGGCTAACAAAAAGTTGGTTCTTTTGACAGACACTGTGAGATGAAGCTGGAATCATGATTAGATAGTTTTCTTTCTTTTCTCTGACTAGACCGCAGTGCTGTGATCGACATCCAAGTGGTCAGTGTTGGCACCAGTGAGATGCAGCTGCAGTGGGGGAACACAGACAGTGCTTCTGGGTACCACTACCACATAGTTCTGGTGTCTGAACACAGCCCCAACAAGACCAGCAACACCACCGTTTCTCAGAAAACCGTCACACTAAAGGACCTCGCCGCAGGCACCTTATATAATGTCACAATCTCTCCAGAATTGGACCGTGTCCTAGGTGACTCCAGCTCCATTGCCCAGTATACACGTGAGTCTTGTGGGGGTTGGGGGTGGGCAGAGGGAGTGCTTTTTCTGTCTCGCATGTGGAGGAAGTACAGTAACGGATGGAGAACGGGCAGATTATGCCTCTGGGTTTTAGATTGATATGGGAGCTGTTTAACTTAAAAATATCAATTTCAGCAAAGGCTCCTCAGCTCTTGTGGGTGCTGTGGCTGGAGCCGTGTGAACACAGAATTGTTCTCTGGAAGCAGAAAGTTACATCATATGAGAATGGAGAATGTCGTATGGCCTGCTACTCCTCAGAGACATTTTAGGGAGCTGCTGTCCTGCCGGCACTGAAGAACCCTCACATGAGGGTCTTGTCTTGTGACCGTGAAAGAGAGGGACTTCCTTAGCATCCAGATGGGATAGGTGGTGGAAGTGATAGCTTATCATGTGCTTTACCTTCTTCATTAGTCAGATTCCAAAAGGAGGTTGGAAATTCTATTGCTTCTCTCCCTCCCTTCCCCATCTCTCTGTGAAGTAAAATATTGGCATATACATGCTAAGCTTAAAAGAAGCCTGAACACCTTAAATTCTTTGCAGACTTTAATATATATTAAATTTATTATTATTATTATTTTGGTTTTTCAAGACAGGGTTTGTCTGTGAAACAGTCTTGGATGTCCTGGAACTCACTCTGTAGACCAGGCTGGCCTCAAACTCACAGAGATCCACCTGCCTCTGCCTCCCAAGTGCTGGGATTAAAGGCATGTGCCACCACCTAATATGAATATTTAATATGCATATTTTATGACTGTCTTTTTGGGTAATCATCTTTTGAAGCAATGCATATTAATTATATTAATTCTGTCTTTAAAAAAGCCAGGCAGCTTTTGGATTTAGCAAATAAAATATAGCAGATTCAAAGTGGTTCATTTTAATTGTTTATTTAATTTTAAACCAAGGGCCCAGCAATGTTTCTAACATTGAAGTAAGCACCAACACCACTGTGGCGGTCATCCGGTGGAAGTATTTGGACGCAGCCCCTGCTAAGTTTTCCTGCCGCCTTATCTTGAAGGCTGGAGATGGTAGCAATGTAACTAAGATGGTCATAGACACTGGAATCACTTCTGTGACCATCACTGACTTAATCCCTGGCTCCCTTTACACAGTGGAGATTTATGCAAAAATTGGGACTGTTACAGCATTGCCTGGCTGGAAGTTGTTCTATATGGGTGAGTAGTCCCATGTTCCTAGTGGTTCTTGTTCTTCTCTTTGTGATGCTCACTTTCAGGAAGCCTTTCCTAGCATATGGGTTACTGTGCCTGCAGTTGGCAACCGTGGCACGGAGCACTGCAAGACAGCTGATAGCGTGTGTGTGTGTGTGTGTGTGTGTGTGTGTGTGTGTGTGTAACACATTGATGCTGTTACCATTGCTTCGTTTAACATGTGTTTATTGAGCACTTGGTATATTAGAGAGGTCCCTCCATTTCTGTAATATTCATCCTGGTGAATAGAACAGATAATAAATAAAATGAGCAGGTAGTTAGGTGATAACTATGGCTACAGAGGGAAAAGGAAAACTCAGGGAAGGGGAAATGTATTCTTATTAAGGTGTCATGTGAGATACCTCATGAAAAGGTTAAATGGAAAGGTGACTGAGCAAAGACCTGAGGGAGTAAAGAGCCAACTACACGAATATCACAGGGTTTTGACCCCCACATTATGGGCAGGGGAGCAGCCAGTGAGAGGCCCTGAGGCTGGAGACAGCACAGTGTTAGAGGATTTATTGGAGGGGTAGTGGGAGTGGATCTGCAGGAACTGGACAGTGAGGGCCAGGAGGCATCAGAGCTTGATGCTTGGCCTCTAATTTGTCTATGATGTGGTTAACTACTTCTGTGGCTTTAAGTGACCCTTGCTCAGTTAGATACATCCCACCTGGTCTACTTGCTTGCTTGGTGGTTTGAGTGGTGTCTCTGGGGCTTCTTAGAATTTCAGCCTTTAGTGAGAGAAAACCCCACATGAACAAGTATGGCTGGGATGGGTGGAAGAGGGGCTGGGAACTGAACTTGATTCTTCTGGAAGAGCAGCAAGCATTCCACCTGCTAGGCCATCTCTCCAGCCTCTTCTAAGAATGCTGCATGGTGACTGACACTATGTTTCCTTTAATCCTCCGAAGTCTGCACTGAACCCCAGAGCAATAAGGTCACATGGTCTGCTATCGCTTAGTCCACCCAACCTGTGCATATCCATGCTGTTTCCTTTTGTGCTGGGCCAGGTCCTCTGCTTCCAGTGAGCCTCACCTTGCTCTGTATTTTGCTTTGTAGAACCTGCACCAGTGGCCTTCTTCCACTGTGAGATGGTCCCCAAGGAGCCATTTCTGGTCCTGAAGTGGCCCTGTCCCCCCGGCGTGAATACAGGCTTCGAGCTAGGGGTCAGGAATGACACTTGGAACTATATGGCAAAGCTGGAAAACTGCACTTCAGAGAATGACACAGAATGCAAGAAAAAAGTACCAGATTTGACGTTTTCTACCTCGTACAACATTAGCATTGTCACCTTGTCATATGGAGGAATGGCAGTCCCCACCCAGAGCACCTGCACCACTAGCATCACAGGTGGGCCCTGTGGCAGGGAGCTGGCTACCCCTGGAGCAGCTGCTCCAGCAGCATGGAATTGCAGCCCAAGAATCCATTTAGGGTGTTTGCATTCCCTTAAAGTATTTTTTACCAGCAGTCTGTTTACCTTATTCTGCAGAAATCCAGCCGGAAACTGCAGAGTAAGAGATGTGTGTTCTGCGACCTTACAGAATAGCTTGTTGCCACGTTTAGTTTTGTCTTCCTCCTTTCCTCGCCTCGCCTCGCCTCCCCTCCCCTCCCCTCTCTTCCTTCCCTTCCTGCCCACCTCTCTTATGGTATTTAAAAAAGGCATTTTTTTATATTAATTTTTTTTATTGAAAATTTTCACCTCCTCCCACTTCCCTCCTCCCCCCACCCCCTCCCCCTCCCTCTCCAGTAAAGGAACAGTCAGGGTTTCCCTGTGGGAAGTCCAAGGTACTCCATGCACCTCCCAGGTCCAGGAAGGTGAGCATCCAAACAGACTAGGGTCCCACAAAGCCAGTACATGCAGTAGGATCAAAATCCTGCACCATTGTCCTTGGCTTCTCCGTCAGCCTCCACTGTCAGCCACATTCAGAGAGTCCAATTTGATCACATGCTCCATCAGTTCCAGTCCAACTGGCCTTGGTGATCTCCCATTATCAGTCCCACCATCTCAGTGGGTGGACACACCCCTCACGGTCCTGACTTCTTTGCTCATGTTCACCCTCCTTCTGTTCTTCATATGTTCTTCATATTCCGTGTAATTATTTTGGGTAAAGCTAGCCGGGTGGCGGGACACAGCCCGCCGCTCCTATCACAACAGACCTTGGGAGCTCAGTCCAGTGCTCCAATGTGGGTCTCTGTCTCTATCTCCATCCATCGCCAGATGAAGTTTCTATGGTGATATGCAAGATATTCATCAGTGTGGCTATAGGATAAGGCCAGTTCAGGCTCCCTCTCCTCTGCTTCCCAAGGAACAAGCTGGGGACACCTCCTTGGACACCTGGGAATCCCTCCAGAGTCAAGTCTCTTACTAACCCTAAAATGGCTCCCTTAATTAAGATACCTACTTCCGTGCTCCTGCATCCACCCCTCCTCCATCCCAACCATCTCATTCCCTCAGCTTTCCCCATCCTCCTCTTCTCCCTTCTCTCTCCCCATCTTCCCTTATCCCCACCTCACCGCCACCCCCGTGCTCCCAAACTCTGTCTGGCAATCTTGTCCACTTCCAATATCCAGGAGGATAACTATATGTTATTCTTTGGGTTCACCTTCTTATTTAGCTTCTCTAGGATCACGAATTATAGGCTCAATGTCTTTTATTTATGGCTAGAATCCACTTATGAGTGAGTACATACCATATTCATCTTTTTGGGTCTGGGTTACCTTACTCAGGATAGTGTTTTCTATTTCCATCCATTTGCATGCAAAATTCAACATGTCATTGTTTTTTTACCACTGAGTAGAACTCTAAAGTGTATATGTGCCACACCTTTATCCATTCTTCTATTGAGGGGCACCTAGGTTGGTTCCAGGTTCTGGCTATTACAAACAGTGCTGCTATGCACATAGTTGAACAAGTGCTTTTGTAGTATGATAGGGCATCTCTTGGATATATTCCCAAGAGTGGAATTGCTGGGTCCTGAGGTAGGTTGACTCCCAGTTTCCTGAGAAACCACACCCTGATTTCCAAAGTGGTTGCACAAGTTTGCATTCCCATCAAAAATGGATGAGTGTTCCCCTTATTCCACATCCTCTCCAGCATAGGCTATCATTGGTGTTTTTGATTTTAGCCATTCTGACAGGTGTAAGATGGTATCTCAAAGTTGTTTTGATTTGCATTTCCCTGATCACTAAGGAGGTTGAGCATGACCTTAAGTGTCTTTTGGCCATTTGAACTTCTTCTGTTGAGAATTCTCTGTTCAGTTCAGGACCCCATTTTTTAATTGGGTTAATTAGAGTTTTAAAGTCTAGTTTCTTGAGTTCTTTATATATTTTGGAGATCAGACCTTTGTCTGATGTGGGGTTGGTGAAGATCTCCCAATCAGTAGGATGCCTTTTTGTCTTAATGACAGTGTCCTTTGCTTTGCAGAAGCTTCTCAGTTTCAGGAGGTCCCATTTATTCATTGATGCTTTTATTGTCTGTGCTACTGGGGTTCTACGTAGGAAGTGGTCTCCTGTGCCCATGTGTTGTAGACTACTTCCAACTTTCTCTTCTATCAGATTTAGTGTGGTCAGATTAATATTGAGGTCTTTAATACATTTGGACTTGAGTTTTGTGCATGATGATAGATATGGATCTATTTTCATTCTTCTACAGGTTGACATCCAGTTCTGCCAGCACCATTTGTTGAAGATGCTTTCTTTCATCCATTGTATACTTTTAGCTCCTTTGTCGAAAATCAGGTGTTCATAGGTTTGTGGATTAATATCTGGGTCTTTGATTCTATTCTATTAGTCAGCATCTCTGTTATTGAGCCAATACCAAACTGTTTTCATTACTGTAGCTCTGTAATAGAGGTTGAAGTCAGGGATGGTAATGCCTCTGGAGGTACTTTTATTGTATAGGATTGTTTTGGCTATCCTGGGTTTTTTGTTTTTCCATATAAAGTTGACTATTGTTCTCTCAAGGTCTGAGAAGAATTGTTTTTGGGAATTTAATGGCGATTGTGGGATTGCATTGAATCTATAGATTGCTTTCGGTAGAATTGCCATTTTTACTATGTTGATCCTCCCAATACAAGAGCATGGGAGATCCTTCCATTTTCTGGTATCCTCTTCAATTTCTTTCTTGAAAGACAAAGTTCTTGTCAAATAGATCTTTCACTTCCTTGGTTAGAGTTACCCCAAGATACTTTATGCTATTTGTGGCTATCGTGAAAGGTGATGTTTCTCTGATTTCCCTCTCTGCTTCTTTGTTCTTTGTATATAGGAGGGCAACTGATTTTTTTGGAGTTGATCTTGTAGCCTGCCACATTACTAAAGGTGTTTATCAGCTGTAGGAGTTCTTTGGTAGAGTTTTTGGGGTCACTTATGTACACTATCATATCATCTGCAAATAATGAAAGTTTGACTTCTTCCTTTCCAATTCAAATCCCCTTGATCCCCTTATGTTGTCTTATTGCTATTGCTAGAACTTCAAGCTCTATATTGAAGAGGTATGGAGAGAGTGGACAGCCTTGTCTTGTTCCGGATTTTAGTGGGTTGGCTTTGAGTTTTCTCTCCATTTAATTTAATGTTAGCTGTCGGCTTGCTGTATATTGCTTTTATTATATTTAGGAATGAACCTTGTATCCCAAATCTCTCCAAGACCTTTATCATAAAGGAGTATTGAATTTTGTCGAATGTTTTTTCAGCATCTAATGAAATGATCATAGTGTTTTTTTTCCCTTTTAGTTTATTTATATGATGGATTACATTGATAGATTGTCGTATGTTGAACCAGCCCTGCATCTCTGGGATGAAGCCTACTTGATCATAATGTATAATTTTTTGGATGTGTTCTTGGATTCGGTTTTCCAGCATTTTATTGAGAATTTTTGCATCGATGTTCATGAGTGAGATTGGGCTGTAATTCTCTTTTTGGTTCAGTCTTTGTATGGTTTTGGTATCAGGGTGACTGTAGCTTCATAAAAGGAATTTGGCACTGACTCTTCTGTTTCTATTTTGTGAAACACATTAAGGAGTATAGGTATTAGCTCCTCTTGGAAGTTCTGGTAGAATTCTGCATTGAAACCATCTGGTCCAGGGCTTTTTTTTGGTAGGGAGGTTTCTGATGACAGCTTCTAACCTCGCGACTTACAGGTCTATTTAAACTGTTCACCTGGTCATGATTTGATTTTGGTATATGGTACTTATCTAAAAAAGTGTCCATTTCTTTTACATTTTCCAGTTTTGTGGCATATAGGCTCTTGTAGTAAGATCTACTGATTCTCTGAATTTCCTCTGTGTCTGTGGTTATGCCCCCTTTTCATTTTGATCTTGTTAATTTGTGTGTTCTCTCTCTGCTGTTTGATTAGTTTGGATAGGGGAACCAGCTTTTTGTTTCATTGATTCTTTGGATTGTTTTCTGTCTTTCTATTTTGTTGATTTCAGCCCTCAGTTTGATTATTTCCAGTCTCCTACTCCTCATGGGTGAATCTGCTTCTTTTTTTTTTTTTTCTAGAGCTTTCAGATGTGCTGTTAAGTCTCCAATGTGTGCTTTCTCTGTTTTCTTTATGTGGACACTTAGTGCTATGAACTTTCCTCTTAGCACTGCTTTCATAGTGTCCCATAGGTTTGGGTATGATGTTTCTTTTTTTCATTGAATTCAAGGAAGACTTTAATTTCTTTATTTCTTCCTTGGCCTAGGGGTGGTTCAGTAGTTGACTGTTCAGTTTCCATGACTTTGTAGACTTTCTGGGGTTAGAATTGTTGTTGAATTCTAACTTTTTTTCCAAGTTGATCTGATAGTACACAGGTGGTTACTACAATTTTTTTTGTATCTGTGGATGTTTGCTTTGTTACCGAGTATGTGATCCATTTTTGAGAAGGTTCCATGCGATGCGAGAAGAAGGTATATTCTTTTCTGTTTGGGTGGAATGTTCTATAGATGTCTGTTAAGTCAATTTGGTTCATTACATTTGATAGTTCTCTTATTTCTTTGTTAAGTTTCTGTTTGGTTGACCTGTCCATTGGTTTCCTACTATTAGAGTGTGGGGTTTGATGTGTGCTTTGAGTTCTAGTAATGTTTCTTTTACATAAGTGGGTGCTTTTATATTAGGGGCATAGATATTCAGGATAGAGACTTCCTCCTGATGAATTGTTTCTGTTTTGAGTGTAAAGTGTCCATCTCCATCTCTTCTGATTGATTTTAGTTTGAAATCAATTTTCTTAGATATTAGTATAGCCTCATCCACTTGTTTCTTTGGATCATTTGATTGGAAAACCTTTTCCCAACCCTTTACTCTGAGTAGATGTGTGTCTTTGTGGATGAGGTGTTTTTCTTGTAAACAGCAGAATTTTGGATCCTGTTTTTGTATCCTTTCTCTTAACCTGTGCCTTTTTATAGCTGAATTGAGTCCATTGATATTAAGTGATATTAATGACCTGTGGTTGTTAACTCCGGTCATTTTTCTGGTGGTAGAATTTGTGTGTTTCCCTTCTTTGAGTTGTGCTGGTGGATGGTTGTCAGATGCTTGTGTTATTATGGGTGTTGTTGGCTTCCTTGGTTTGTGATTTTCCTTCTAGTATTTTTTGTAAGGCTGGGTTTGTGGCAACGTATTGTTTAAATCTGTTTTTGTCCTGGAATATTTTGTTTTCTTCATCGATGGTAAGTGCAAGGTTCGCTGGGTATAGTAGTCTGGGCTAAGAAAGGCCTTTTTAATAGAACTGTTCAAATATATACTAAGTCTGGACAATAGGATGAAACTCATATCTTGTTGCACACTTGCCAGCATTTGGCCACTCTCAGCACATTTATGTCCCCGCCTTCCTTCTAAGCTGTTATTGGAAGGTTGACTCTGACCTGATTTGACCATTGGTCGTGTTTGTAAATATTACACACGAATCACTTCAAGATAAGGACTTTCTTCTTTTTCTTTCAAATGTAGCCATACTACTATGACAACCATGCTTATGGAAGAAGACTTAAAAAGCAACACCATTATTGTGTATTTAGTCATGATCTGTTGACAAGAGCCTGAGTTGCTCTAGGGGAAGAAAAGATCATATACTATGCAGGGATCTCCTCACTGACCCTTCATATTCATTTCTGTTCTTTCTCCCTTCTCCCCCTACCTCTCTGTTCGGAAAGAATTGATTTAATTTTGTCTGTCCATTGCTCCCGTCTCTGCCTAATTTGTGTTTTAGTTCAATCAGTGGAATGGTGGTGTTCTATCTTCCTTGTGTTTTTTGACTTAGATAAATTCTTCAAGGCAGAAGAATATTTCTCCCAGTTTCTAGAGAACCAGTGGTTGTTCTAAAAGGGCCTCTTACTTTAGGGACCCGACTTGGAAAGTGGTTGAGGTGTTTTATAGACAGCAGCTCAGAATAGTTAGGTGGACCCCGGCTTGAGTTCAATTTGTCCCTTTTACCAGTCACGTGATCTTTAGAAAAGGTAACTAACCTTGCAAAGAGTCTCAGTTGTAAAAAGGAAAGACAGTACTTACTTTCCAGGACTGCTGTACTGCACATTACACATTGAAGACCACACACATGGCTGCTCAGGTTGTGTACTAAACAGTCTCACGAAAACAGCATGCACAGGGCTCCTTGAAGCCGTGCAGCACAGCATGGTACCCGCCCTGCGCACTCCACGTCGGCTTTGTAGCCATAGAGGGCACAGTGAACGTTTCATTTCCCCCTTGCTCATCTCTTCTCATGTTGCCATCTCTGTATGAACTGCTGAAGGATAGAGACCATGGCTGAGTCTCACTTGTCATAGAGCATAGAAGCTCATCAGAACTAGGTATCTCTGGGTTGGGGCTGGAGTTCAGTTGGTAGAGCACTTGCTAAGCTCATACATGAAGTTTGAGTTCAGTCTCTGACACTACATAAAGTGCATGTGGTAGTACATACCTATAATCCCAGCACGTGGCAGGTAGAAGCAGGAGGCTCAAAAGTTCGATGTCATCCTTGGTTATTATAGGGAGTTCAAAGGTAGCATAAGCTATATAAAAATTAAACAAAAAAGGGGAAAATAAGACGAACAAATATGATCATATTATTTTATGCAGCAATATTCATTTTTTAAAAACTGGTGTCTTGCTTTTACAGATGAATATTTATAAATTTATATATTTAATACCAATTAAATTCAAAGTTGCATTTTCTCTCGATTGGGAAGTATTGGAGAAAAGGAGAGTTGGGGTGAAAGTCTTTGCCGGGTTTGTTGTTTAGTTCCTGTGTGCTAGGGTAAGGGATGTGTGTATTGGGGGGTTGGGCAGGTAAGTGTAGTGTTCCAGAGGAGGAACGAGAAGGAACGGGTTTCTGGAGTTGTGGGAAAGCTGCCATAGTGTGCTGCTGCCAGTCTTGAGGTGGGAAGTGTGATATCCTTTCTGACATCTAAATTCTGGGAGAGCTGATGGTAAATGTGGGGGCATCTATGGAGTCATTGTCATTGGGCTTGTTCAGAATCCAGGTATCTGCACAGAACTCCCTTCCTGCCGCTTACCCTCTCTGCATGCAGCTTTGGGGACGGGGCGGGTCTTGGAGAGAGCATTTGAGCACATTCTCTCCTTTGATTTTAAACGTTGGGTGAGTCTTCTGTTTTATATTTTAGACCCACCTCCTCCAGATGAATCCCCTAATATTACATCTGTCAGTCACAATTCAGTAAAAGTTAAGTTCAGTGGTTTTGACGCCAGCCATGGACCTATCAAAGCCTATGCCATCATTCTCACCACTGGGGAAGGTAAGGAGGGGCCAATGTGGGTTAACTTGTGTGACAAAACTGTCCTGGTTACTTTCTTATTGTTGTGATAAAACACCACGACCCAATCAACTTATAAAAGAAAGTGTTGAGCAGGTTTATGGTTTCAGAGGGCTAAAGTCCCTGACGGTGGAGTAAAGGCGCAGTGACAGAAGCATCTGAGAGCTGACATCTTGATCCATAAGTGAAGCAGGTGTGGGGGTTACAGCACCTTTGGAAACCTCAAAGCTCACTCCTCATGACAGACCTCCTCCAACAAAGTGATATGTCCTAATTATTCCCAATCAGTTCCACCAGCTGGGGCCCAGTGTTCCACTGTTTGAGCCTGTAGGGGCTGAGGTGACCCACCACGGTGAGCGATGCTGTAACACACAGGCACATTCGTGACATAAATACATCGTGTCTCTGCACTGTAACCTGTACTGCAGACTCACAGGGAGGCTGGCTGTTTGCTTGGTGCTGTCAATGATCAGATAGCAAGTAATTTAAGTTTTCTTGGCCTTGCAGCCTCTGTCACAACTATCTAACATCTCTGTGATGGTGTGGAGCCACGTATGGAAAATTCATGAGGGTGAAGGTGCTCATCCCCACAGCTGTTTACACCAGGTGGTGGCTACATTTGGCCCATAGGCTCTAACTAGCCAACTTAGGATGCTTTGCTCTTGAAAGCAAGTACAAAAAGATTGCACTTGCTAGTGGACTCTGTGAAGGGCATCAACTGGATGGGAGGGGAGGTGAGCTAGAATGATTTTTCTGTGCCAGTTAGAAGGGCGTCTCTGCTAGCTGCGTGGGAGTGTTTTACCCAAACCAGGGCTAGGGAGATAGCTCAGTTGGTAAAGTACTTGCCTTGCACAGGCCCTGAGTTCAGTCCTTGGGATATACATTACAGAAAGGGCATTGTGATATGCCCTTGTAATCCTGGAGCTGGGGAGGCAGAGACAGGAGGATCCCTGAGCTCCCAGGTCAGCCAGCTTAGCCAGCATGAAGTTCCAGGCTAGAGAGAAATCCTGACTCAAAAAAGGTAGGAGGTGCCTGAGAAATGATAGCTGAGGTTGTCCTCTGGCTCCCACACACATACGGACACACATGCATACACACTAGCTCACACATGTGTACCCGCATCCTGGATAATACATAGAAGCAAAATGTGGAGATCGCTTTCTCTGAATTTTAAAATGTTGAGTCCGTTTTTAAGCCCTTTGTCATTGAATGTGTTTTCAGCCAATTTCAAACTCAGACCCATGTTGAATGAAACAGATCCTGTTACATGGTGACCTTGGGCCAGGAGAGTAGGGCTAGGAGTTCAGCCTTATAGCATGCGCAGTGTGGCTTTGGGCAGGTTTCTGCCAGCTCTCTGCTCTTTGTTTTTATTGCTTGAGAATAGGGATCATACGCTTTTGTGAGACTCAAGATGAAGGGATGAGGTGATATAAGCCAAATACTAAGGATTCAGCTGCTCCTGGAAGTGCTTGAGAGATGGGCTGCTGGCATGTCACTCAGTACCTGTGTTCTTACAGAGTTGTTGTTTTTCTTTTCTTTGACACTTTTGTCTTTCTGTTGTCATTCATGATTTGCCTCTTTGTTCCTTAGCTGGCCATCCTTCTGCAGATGTTTTGAAGTACACATATGGAGATTTCAAAAAGGGGGCCTCGGATACTTATGTGACTTACCTCATAAGAGTAGAAGAGAAGGGACGCTCTCTGGGCTTGTCTGATGTCTTGAAATATGAAATCAATGTGGGGAACCAATCCACTACCTTCGGCTACTACAACGGGAGGCTGGAGCCTCTGGGCTCCTACCGGTAATATGGGTCCTTGCTGTTGGGTGCTGAGCCTCATGAATTTAAGATTCTATATACTAAGGTGGTAGAAACATCTCAGTTACCTATTTTCTCCATTGTCCCCCATAGGGTGTGTGTTGCTGGCTTCACCAATATTACTTACAGCCTTCAGAATGGTGGACTCATCAGTGGGAATGAGAGCTATGTTTCTTTCAGTCAGTATTCGGATGCTGTGTTCCTGCCTCAAGATCCAGGTAGAGGGAGACAAAAGCCCTAGCATCAAATGCAGTGGGTTTTCCACCTTGTGTCTGCAGAAGCCTACTGTCTCCATAGGCACCCACAAGGGTGGAGGTGGCTGGTTTTCTCCTCTCAGAAACTGACATATCCCTTGGTCTTTGGGCTAGCTTAACTCCCCACTCTGGTGTCCTTAAAAGAGCTGCTCTCCACTTCGTCTCTAAAACCAGCCACACTTCTAATCTGCACATTACTTAGTCCTTTGCTTTCTAAGAGTCACTTGTGGGCCCATGTACCAGCAAAGATGTTCAGTTTAAAGAGCCCTTGAATGTTCATGTTAGAAGGCACCACAGCAGTTGTCTTATCTTACGTCTGTGTAGAAATAAGGCTTCTAAGGCCCAGTGTTGCACAGTGACTTAAACGCAAGCCTGAAGTTCTAGCCTAAGACTCTTTGTAAAGTGCTCGTTCTATCCACTCTCACAGAGCTAGATATATTGGAATTTTAGGGACCAAGGTGAGGGTCCCCTCCTCTGCCAGTATGGAGAAACAGTGACTTACTGGTCTGTTCATTTGTTTTTCCTAACTGCTGAGTAGAACAGATAACCCAGAAGCAAAATTCAAGGATTCCCCTTAAACAGCCCATATAAATGGCGGGGTGTGGGGGTGTGAGGTGGGGGGAGGGGGGAGGGATTCTATGCTGTGTGTGGGTGTTATTGTAGGTACTTCTGCTCATAAGTGATGGGAAAAACCACTGATCTAAGTCTCTCAGGTCACTAAATTTGCAACTGAACTGAGACCTAGCCAGGGGTTGTGATATTCTCAGGACCATCCTGCTAATTGTGGGCTCAGGGTGAAGAAACAAGTTCTTGAAAGCTGGTTGTAATTTTATGTCTAAAGATATTCACTTCCCCCCTACGTGCACCACACCCCCTTTCTCCCTGAATTCTGTATGGGTCCTGGACTGGTTGTTGGTGTAGCACATGGCCCTTCATGAACGCCAGTTGAAATGCCTCTTGTTGGGACCTTCCCCAGGTGTCATCTGTGGAGCAGTGTTCGGATGTATCTTTGGTGCCCTGGCCATTGTGGCTGTGGGAGGCTTCATCTTCTGGAGAAAGAAAAGGTGATACAGCTTATTTAGTTGGCATGTGCTACTGTTTAAGAAAACCTTTTATTATAGGAGTTGGAATCATTTGTAAAATCGGGAGGAACAGTTGAAAGTTTTTGCCATCTGGCCAGACTTGCTTCCTTTCTGACTCCAGTTGGGTGATTTGATTATGAACCTTACCCCAGCCACATCAACCCTACCTGCCGTGCGGGATGCCGTGCGGGATGCCGTGCGGGATGCCGTGCGGGATGCCGTGCGGGATGCCGCTCTCAGGCCGGGATCCTAGGAATGTGTTAAGAATTTCATATGACTTTAGAGTTGACCAAGTTCGAACTTAGGTTCCACTCTGGCTAGCTGTTGGAAGTGGCTTAGCCTTAACCTCTTCCTCTGTGGTATGGGAATGAGTGCTCAACTCCAGGAGCTGAGGAGTGGTGGCAAATGTCTTACTGCATTGTTTTGTTACTTGTTACTGTCTTTCTACCACCACCCTGTGATGTAGTTAATTAGTGGAAAGTAGCAGTTTCATTTTGGGTGCCCTCTACCTCATGGACTTCCCAAGGCTCTAACAGGCAGGTCTTAAAAGCCCTTCTAGGATTGCAGAATCAGTGCTGGAAGCACCAAAGAGAAACTTGAACTTGGTCTTTGGGTTTTGTCTTGCCTGACTGTGGGAATTGTGTGCTGGACTTCACTTCCTGCCTAACTTCTAGCTAGAAATTTCCACCTGGGATTTGGCTTTCTCAACATCATTCTCCAGTTTTTTTTTTTCCTTTCTGAAACAGAGTCTATTAAAATATCTTAGGATATTTCAAATGTAGCAGAGGGTAGCCTTGGATTCCTCATCCTTCCACCTCTGCCGAGTCTGAGGCTATAGGTGTGTGACACCCAAGCCTATTCCAAGAAAACAGTAGTTGCTTTATCTCCCCCTCAATAAATCACATAGTGTCCCTTCTCTTCATATCAGTTAAATCTTTTACATTGTACTAAAAAATGAATCAGAACCTAGCTCAAAATCTGGAATGTCAACAGTCAAGTCAATAGGGCACAGGGAGTGAGGTCCCTAGTAAGAAGCTGATAGGAAGAGTTGGTCTGAACCACACAGTGGAACCTGTCTCAAAACCTGTAAACCACCACCCAACTCAAAACTCAAACCTATTGTGATAAAGAAAATACCCACAAGAAAAGCAAAGAAATTCAGTAACCCGTAATTACAACAAACCTGCATCTACCATTTTCCTGTGATTATGATGCTCACCCCAGCCGAGTCCTTTTAGACACATTAATAAGACTTCATTTCAGTATCATTTTAAGTAGCTGCCGGGTATTTGCCATCATTTATTTATCCATTTTACTGGGTATTGTAATACTTTTGACTACAGTTACATGTCCTTGTACCTAACCTTTGGGCATGCTCACGATTATTTCCCTAGGCTAAATTTTAAACAGAACATTTACTGGGTAAGTGGGCATGCTTTTTTCCCCTCCGATTTTGGTACGTGCTACTCAATTGCAGTTTGTTTCAGCACCATGTAGAGCTGAGTCAACAATGCTAGTGCTCACAGTGGCAGTGTTGGACCTGACTTCCTTTCAGGGCTTTCCCCCCTCTTTGCATTAATTTACACACACTCTCACACACAAAAATTTCTAAAAGTTGCTTGAATAGATTTTTGATTCTTTTCAATAAAAAGAAAGAGTAAGTGTACCGATTTTTAGTTTACATTTCCTGCTTGGTCTGTCAGGTTGAGTATCAGTGAACAGGTTTCTGTTGGCGGTTATGGACTGGTGAGCGGGCTTCCATTTACCTGAACTACTGCCTGGGAAGAAGGTGGCAGAGCAGTCAGGATGAAGGTCTTTGTCTGTCTAATGGGCCTTTTTTTTCCCCCCTTTCAAAATAGGAAAGATGCCAAGAATAATGAAGTGTCATTTTCTCAAATTAAGTAAGTCTGAGTTACAAACTTATTTTAAGATTCTCAGTCCCCCAGTCTGTTCAGTGACTATCTAAAGCACTTTTTTTTTTTTTGATAGAAATAGCTGGCATTTTTCCTGATTGACAGATTGGCCATAATCTTCTGGAAGTTCTTGCTGTTTTCTGCAAGGATTCTTTGTTTTACTGTCCTCCTGAAGTTACTTTTATTTTTGTTTCCCCATATGTTCTTCAGTTTTACTAACAAATAAGGTTCTCTGTGTGTATCTGGTGTACCTGTGTGTATGCATCCCCACCAGTGCTCAGAGGCCAGAAGGGGATGGTTCTTATCACTGCTTGCTGTGTTCCCTTGAGACAGGGTTCTTGCTAAGAACTGGTTGGCCTCCAGCAGTCCTCTGCCATCCTCCTGTCTACCCTAATTCAGCACTGGGGTTACAGGTGCATGTGGCCATGCCGGTGTTTTTATGGGGTGCTGAGGATTGGAACTCAAGTCCTCAGACTTGAGCAGCAAGCTCTCTGACCCACTAAACTATCTCCACAGCACCCCACAAGGTAATTGTTATATTTTATAGAAGTGAGTGGATTATCAAGAGCCAAGGGAAAAACAGTTATTTCAAGTCACAAATACTGTCAGTTTTAGGATAGGGCGGCATTTCTGGTTTGTGTCTCAGGGTTTTTTTTTTAAATAACATTGCATTGATCTCCAACCCATACCCTTACTGTGTCTGGCTTTGTTCTTTGAGTTGATGCTTACTTACTTCTAAAATGAGTCCATCTAATTGATTTTCCCCTTTTTCCTTTCCATGATGAAGACCTAAAAGGTGAGTAGTTTCATTTTTATATCTTTCATTTTGATATTCTTTCATTTATATCTTATATTTTGAGTTTGAACTTAATTGAATGAAAAATTAGCAAAAACGAAAAGCCCAACAAGTTGTTTTGTTTTCCTAGATCCAAGTTAATTCGAGTGGAGAATTTTGAAGCCTACTTTAAGAAACAGCAAGCTGACTCCAACTGTGGGTTTGCAGAGGAATACGAGGCAGGTGGTCATAAACTGTTTTGCATTGTGGTAAAGCTTTGGGTGAGAGGCAGCCTAGAGGGGAGAGAAGATTATGCCTGTTTCTCTGCGGCACCCTGCTGTTGGCTAGGAAGCTCACACAGAACCTTCATTTTTGGTGGAATATGTGTTTATCTTGTGGCTACCTGAAGATTGTCCAGAGAGAGGCAGAAATGGGGAATTGGAGCCTGAGGACCATTAACTAGGGTCATTAAGCCACATGAGCGGTGGAAAAGCCAGATGGGCCATTCGGAGGTCTGGGCTTAACAGCTGTGGGGGCAAAGCTGACCTGGGTTAGGTGTTTCTTTACTCATCTTTGCCTTCCAGACTCACCTACTTTCTGTCCCCCAGACTGGCTCAGGAACTGTCCTTACTCAGAAGTGCATGCATGCTTCTTACCCACAAGGTGCTCCCTGGTGCAGAGTCCACTTTTGTACTCCTAGAATCCTGCCCACAACTCCAGCACAGTCTGTCCTCAATTTGACACCGCCTCCTCCCCTATCATCCTGCCCACAACTCCAGCACAGTCTATCCTCACTTTGACACTGCCTCCTCCCCTATCACTCGGATTCCACACGAGGACTCAGTTTCTGTCTGTGTTGATTGTCTTTATGCTGCCTGGCGCCATCTGTGGTCTGCGTACCTCACTCTGCCTAGCCAGGGTAGTGACTCCTGACTGTCCAGCCCCAGAAGGCAAGAGTCCTTCTCCTTTCATTTTCACCTCTGATTTAGTTCAAGTGCTGCCCTATCAAAGTACCATGAACAGGGTGACTAAGGACAAATATACTGTCTCACTGTTCAGGAAACAAGAGGCTCAAAATCACAGTGTCAGCATGACCCCTTAACCTCTAGGGGAGATCCTGCCATGGTTCTCTCAGTTTCTGGAAGGCCCCATTGTCTTTTGGTTTGGGGGAAGCATGGCTTCCATTTTCATCATCCACTACCATTGCCACCATAAGGTGTTTCCTCTTGTGTGTTTGTGCCCCATACTATAACAACATTGCCCATGTTAGGTTAAGGACCCACTCTCTTCCAGTGTGACTTCGGGATTTTGATTTCTTGCTTCTTCCATGGTCATATCCTATAGGAGCCTACTCATAGGTGTTGGAGGTTGATGTTCAACATCTCTTTGCGCTTAGCAGAAGTCAATCCATTCTGCCTCTGCATTCCTACTTTGTTCTACCCTGAGCCTGATTAAATATACAGCTCACTTATTTGTTTTCAGGATCTGAAGCTGATTGGAATAAGTCTACCTAAATGTACAGCTGAAGTAGCTGAGAACAGGGGGAAGAATCGCTATAACAATGTCCTGCCTTGTGAGTGATTTTATTCCTGTCTTCCCTTTGTCACTGGTCATCTCTTGAACACTATATATATGGAATCAATAATACCCACTTGCTGTCTTCACAACCATTCAGTACCAGATAGTCCCACAACCATCTACCTAGAATGAGCTAAGTACTCTATGAAGAGATATTACACTTAATTTGATCCTTACAACCACAGTTTGTAGAGTAGGTGGTGGAATATTCATTTCACAAGTGAAGAAAATAAACCTCCATGTTAGGTGACTTATTCAGAGTTGCATTCTTCTCATATTCAGTTTGTTTTGTTCTGAAAGGGGCACCAGGAAAGCAGGTACAGGGCCGTACTCTCTCCTTGCCCAGATCTTCAATCGGATGATAGATGATTGATGATAGATAGATAGATAGATAGATAGATGATAGACAGACAGACAGACGGACGGACAGACAGACAGGTGGGCAGACGGACATATGGACAGATGGGTAAAATTCTAAATTTGGAGTTGTGGAGATGGCTCCATCAGTGAAGTGCTTGCCGTACAGACGTGAGGACCTGAGTTCAACACCCTAGTGCCCACAGTGCACACCTATAATCCCTGCACTGCAGAGGGAGAAGAAGCCCTTTTCTGCTTTTGAGAATTGCCTGTGTCTGTTCTTGTGCTGATCGGTTTTGACTCAACATAGAATCACTTGGGAAGGAGAGTCTTAGTGAGGAATTGCCTAGGTTATCCTGTGAGATGTCTTTGGGGGGCATTTTGATTGATAATCGATAGAAGACCTAGCCCATTGTGGGCAATACCATTGTGTAGGCAGGAGGTTTTGAATGGTCTAAGAAAGGAGAAATCTTGCTGAGAGAGCAAGCAAGCAAAGGTCCATTTGTTCTCTCTCTACTCTTGCCTGTGGACATGATACTTTAAATTCTTGCCTTAACTTCATCAAGATTGATGTGATCTGGAATTGTAAGCTGTGCAAACTCTTTCCCTCTCCTATACTGCTTTTAATTAGGGTATTTATCACAGCAAAAGAAATGAAACCAGAAGAGCAATTACCCAACAAAGTGAGAGCAAACTGAAGAGTAGAGAAGGGTTAGTAATGTGAACTCTGCAATGGGAAGTCTGCTGGTGTGAGAGTTAGCACACAGAGAGGAGTATCAGAGGGTCTGAACCATGCTCTGCCAGTCCTGAAGGTGCTCGGTTTTGTGGGTGGCTTTTTCACCAAGCCATTTAATGACTTTATCTTTTTAATTTGAAGTCATGCTTTTCTATTAGCTTGTATTTTAAACTCAGTGTTTTTTCAGTCATCGGTTCTTTTTCTGCTTCTTCCCCTATACTTGTCAGTGGGTCTTGGCCTAAATCGGAAAGAAGTGCTTTTGTAGCCATGCTGGGGGAGCTGCTATGTCTCTACCCCCCTGAGACTAACTCAGAACTTTGGCCTGGTCTTGGAGAGCTTTGGATCTGGAGTGAGGGCTGGGATTTGATGTCTGGGTGGTGTTTCTATTGAGAAGACCTTTCTTGAGACACACTGGGTTTACTATTCCTGTGCTACTCTGTCCCAGGAGGGTCAGGCAGTGGAATCCATGACTTATCCTGACGTTTGGAATTCCTCGGTTATGATCACCTCTGGCATGTATGCTTTCTAAATGAGAATGATATTTAGAAAATGTGTGAAGTTGGTATTTTAGACCTCTCCATTCATAGTTTTATGCATTCAGTTAACTTTTAAATTTAGAGGGGTTTGTATGTGCATGTGAGTGTATGTATATGTGTATACATGTGTATGTGTACACATGGAGGCCAGAGGTTGACGTTGGGTTGTCTTCCTCAATTGCTTTTTTAATACAATATATTCTGATTATAGTTTTCTATCCCTCATCTTCCCCCAGATCCTCAATATCTCCCCACCCATCCATTTTTGAGACGGGGTCATTATTTATCCTGGATCTTGCTGATTCACTTAGATTAGCTGGCCATGGAGCTCCAAGGAGCCTGTTTCTTCTCTAGCGTAGGGATTATAGGTGTGCACTGTGGGCACTAGGGAGTTGATGATGGTAGATTACTGATGGAGCCATCTCTACAACTCCAAATTTAGAATTTTATCCTGCCTGTCTGCCCATCCATCTATCCATCCATCCATCTTTAATTTATTAATTGATTATATGTACAGGTGTGAATGTGCCATGATGTGTGTGGATGTCAGAGAACAACCCATGGGAGTCAGATCTTTCCCTCCATGTGGCCTTGGGGATCAAACTCAGGTCTTCCGGCTTGGCAGCAAGCACCTTTAATGCCTGATCTACCTCACTCGCCCTATGACAGATTTTTAAGGCAGTGGGGAAAGGTTAACTTGGATGTCTTTTCTGCCATACTGGAATAGGCTCTGAGTTAAAATTCTGGTTGTTGTTTCCCCACATAGAAGGACTTGGAAATGTCCCTTCATCTCTGAGACTCCTGATTTCTTTATCTTGAAAGCTTGTGAGGTGGTTTTGAGATGTGAATATGGTAACCCAGCACCTGTCCTGCTCAGAGCAGACCCCCAGGCTCCTGGGAATAAAAGCTTGTTCAGGTTGGGAAGGTGGTGAGAACGTAGACCTTGCTGCCAGGCTGCCTAGGTCATCCTAATTCTCATGCTCAGGCTGTTACATGGCTTCTCTGCGCCACAGTCACAGACTCTACAGGGAGTGTGAAGTGTGAAGCCGTGTGTCAGCCAAGGGCTGCCAGTTGGTACTTCTAAAAATTCCCTGTGTGCAGCTTTCCTGAAACTTGGCTTAGAATGAGGCTCTTTCTTTCTTTTAATGCCACAGATGATACTTCTCGAGTCAAACTTTCATTCCAGACCCATTTGACAGATGACTACATCAATGCCAACTATATACCTGTAAGTGGTGGCTGCTCTTAGCCCCGGTGGCTCCTCTGAATCATAGCATTTTTTTTTCTGTGTCTTGAATGATGACTGAGCTTTCTGTTTCTAGGGCTATCATTCCAAGAAAGATTTCATTGCCACACAAGGACCTTTACCCAACACTTTGAAAGATTTTTGGCGTATGGTTTGGGAGAAAAACGTATATGCCATTGTTATGTTGACTAAATGTGTGGAACAGGGAAGGGTAAGTATCTTTTGAAAAAAATATAAATTAATTATTGTTGTAGAGTGTATCTTAAAATCCATTTGTTTTTAAAAGAACACTCTTCCCAGATGTTAACACCTTTGTTCTTAGAAAATATGTTCTGTATTTTTAGCTTTCAGAGAGGTTTTAAAAAAGTATTGAAAATACATTCTACAATGTTCCTTTGTGAGCGCATATTAATGTCTGTGATTGTATCTGTGCTGGAGTTAGTGAGTGGATGGAACTGGGTTAGTGCAGTGGACACTGTGGGCCTGGAGCTAGGGATCCGAGACCGTACAGCTCTGCTCCTGTAAAGTCTGACCCTCTGTCTCTAAGCAACCAGCTCCTAAATCTCTGATTCTCAAACTTAGTTTTTGACACAATAAACAAAATTTCAGACTTATGTCCGGGCAAGTCCCAGCAGCCCTCTCTCTTCCTATGTGGTCTAGAACCTTCCTGCCATTTCTGTCACAGATATGATCTCTTCTAGGGATAAAGTCTCACGTTTCCCTAAATAGAGATGAGTTGAAAAACATGCTAAATTAAAAATTGTGTGCCTGAAGAATGAGAATTAATGTTACTTCATGGAGGATTATTAATTACGATTCTATTTAGTGTTGGGATTGCCTGGGGCCTTGGCCTCCCTCAGCACATGCTCTGCTGCTGAGCAGTACCCCAGCTCTCAGTGCTTTGTGTTTTGTTTATATGTTTGTTCCTGAGACAGGGCTTCACTCTTAGCTCAGGCTGGACTTGAACTTCATTCTCCTAATGGCTGAGTTTACAGGCATGAGCGCTCATGCCTGGAATAAGTTCTTTTCTTTTCTTTCCTTTTCTTTTTCCCTCCCTCCTCCTTCCCTCCCTCCCTCCCTCTCTCCCCTCCCTCCCTCCCCCTCCCTCTCCCCCTCCCTCCCTCCCCCTCCCTCCCTCTCTCCCCTCCCTACCTCCCCACCCCTCCCTCCCTACCCCCCCTTTCTTTCTTTCTTTCTTTCTTTCTTTCTTTCTTTCTTTCTTGTGGTTTCTTTTCTTGAGGAGTGAGAGTTAGCCCCCGAGTCAGTGATTCCTTCACCTCCCTGTTTGCCAGAGCCGTCTGCAGGGTGTTTCTCAGCCCTCCTTGTTGAGAGTCGGGTCTGACAGCTCAATGCTATGGCTGCTGGCAGCCAGGTGCTCATCATGAATGGCGCTGTCCTAGGTGGTAACTGGAACTTGTCAGACATAATTCTTTTTTTTTCTTTTTTTTTTCAGACATAATTCTTTAAAATGTATTTTTATTTTGTTCTGTGTATGATGTGTATGCGTGTGTTGGAGAGTGGACACGCCACAGCAAATGTGTGATGTTTCTGGAAATGGGATCTGAGTCCTAGATGCAGGCCTTCAGGCTGTGCAGCAAGTGCTTTTTGCTGCTGAGCCATCTCACAAACCGGATTCATTTTTCTTAAAGATTCATTTATATTATTTGGAATTATTGGTACATATGCAAATCTGTGTTTGGGTCAAACAGAACCAGCTGAGGAACTAAACAGTCCCAATGTCAGCCTCATGACTTTGATGATGGTGGGGGTGTGATTCCTGTATTTTCATACAACCAATCCTGTGTTCCAGACCAAATGTGAGGAATACTGGCCTTCCAAGCAGGCTCAGGATTATGGGGACATAACTGTGGCAATGACCTCAGAGGTTGTTCTTCCGGAATGGACCGTCAGAGATTTCGTGGTGAAAAATGTAAGTCAAGATTGATCTGAGAAAATTATTGGATATGAATTTGGAAGTGGTATATATGTTGAAAATAACTAATATTTGATGAATGAGAAAAGTATTTTTGCTTCTTCTTCTTTACAGAATTAAAATGCCCATAACTACATGCTCTCTCAGGAGACTTTAGCTTTATTTTCTGAGGGGACTTTTGTGTCTTTCCTGACTAACTGAGTCTCATGAGCATGGCTGTGTCAGTGATATGCTTTGGGGTGGGCGCTTGCTGCTAGGAATAGTTCTTACTAATCCCAAGGTTCAGATTCTGGGCCAAATGCACTGTCTTCTCTTCTCCCCAAAAGTTGCAAAAACAAATCCGCTTAAATCACAAGACATTCTAGAAACTGAATTTATTTTTCTTTTTTAAAGAGTATTTGAAAGTAGAGAAGGTGCTCTGAGTCAACAATGCTATCTACCTTAGAGCTTAACATATTGGGGGTCTAAAAGTGTTTATCCCTTTTAATCTGGTCGGCTCAAATTTGAGTCTCTGACATAAAGAAATAACGTGAAATTCAGGCATGGACTCATTAGTTACAGATGAGCGTTGTTTATTAGTTTACTAGTTATTAGTATTGATTATTAGTCACAATCTCAGTGTTGTTTATTCTTAGAAGGTTATTTAGAAGGAAATGAGTAAGCTTTGTGTTTATTTTCATTTCTCTTGGGTATATGTCCAGTGTCTGCTATTTTATTATTACATGTTGTTTGGTAATTTCATACATAGTTGCAGTTCATTTAGATCATATCCATCTCACCAGCATTATTTGTGGTGGTTGAACAATTGGGAAATCACATGCATAACTAGCTTTTGGAGAATGGGTAGCTAAACTCTGATTTATGTACATACTGTTATCACCATCCAGCGTTTAGAGATACCGTATATGTAGACAACATACAGCCAGGCTTTACGTAAACCCTGCTGCTTTCTTCAGCTGTGAATTCAGCCAACCTGGGATTGAATAAACATAGTGCTTGTATTTAACATGTACAATCAGGTCCTACAGTATGACAACTATTAAAATACGCTAGGTAATGCAGCTGAGAAATGATCTAAAGTATAGTCACATGTTGAATGGCAGGGTGTATTCTAGGGAATGTGTCTGTGTGAACACCATGGACTGTACTTAACCCTGGATAGTATAGCCTACTATGCACTTGGGCTGTGTAGTGTATACTGCCATAAGTGTATATGATCGTGTGTGTGCAGGTTGCATATACACATGGTTGTATTACTTTGAGAACCTGAACATTCACAGATTTTTCCTGGGATCAGTCCACATGGATCCCGAGGAATGATTGTAATTACCATGAGGAGATGTGAAAAACTAGTGTCAGTGGTACATACTAGGAGACAGAGTTTTAAGTTAGCATCTTACCAGGTAGCCAAGCCTGGCCTTAAACTCATGAACCTCTGCCTCAATCTCAGTACTGGGGCTATAGGTTTATGTTACCGTGCTTAGCTTGGGGCAACATATATATTAAAAGAATATGCATATATTCTTTTATAATTTTATTATGTGTATGTATACATACACATACACACTATGCATAAAAGAAAAGCCTAGAAGTAGATTCAGTAGTGTTGTATTTTAACAGGGTCGTAGTTTGTAAGAATGAACCTTAAAGATTCCTGAAGATATAGGTAAGGCAAAGTATATGAAATACTACTTCTTACTAGTTACTGATTCTCAAAGACTCTGGTCTCAGGAACTATTTTAGGTCCTTCTTTGGAGATGTTGAGCACACAGTAGCCTGACCACCTCAGTAAGTAAGGTCACAGTGAGTGAGGAACCTTTGAAGTATGTCATGCTTATTTCTGCAGCCTTTGCCCATTTAAGTTGACTGGCATATCTGTTATCCACATTTGCTTCTGCTTGCGGTTCACTGGGAAATTGTGCATAGAGCTGGCAAAGAAAATGCTGTTGCTCTCATTGTGTTTATTTCAAGGAAACTACAGATTCTAGAGATTTCATGTTCCCCACTGAAGTCTTTTCTTATTTTAGGACTCAATACAGGCTTTCACATGGCATTTTCTACAATGGTGTTTTGTAATTTTGTGAAATGCATACATACATTTCCTTCTATAGATGAGAGCATTACAGACAGAGCTCTATTGTTTTGATGACCACCCCTAGCCTGAGTTCCTTGCCCCCTGCCCTCATGCTCCCCTGCCCCTGCCCCTGCTCCGGCCCCTCTGCAGAACTGCTCCCAAGAACCTCTACTTTCCACTGTTTGTTGTGTCTCCTTCTTTCCTGCTCCTTGCAGCTGGTCTCTTTTCTCGGTAAACCCTTATGATAACATTTATGATGCTGGTTATCTGCGGTGAGGTTCCCCAGGGTCCTCTCTCCTATTTCTCAATCTTTGAATAATATAAATTTATTGATTTTATAATGAATGAACATTAAAAATTAGTGTCAGTGATGGAGATGCCCAGTGCCCAGCTGTGGGGGACATATGTTTACGGTCAGGTAGACAAATGAGTATAGTTGAATCAAGGACAGGAAGGGACAGGACTGGCCCCAGAGGCAGAGCTTTGGTAATTCCAGGCACATGCTTGGTCTAAAGTAGAATACAAACTGGTGTAATTGTTAGATTTGTTAAAATAGTGCTCACTGTCTCCTGCCTGCCATATGTTGAAGTAGCAGACTGTGAGGTGTGTATGTGTGTGTGTATGTTCCTTTTGTAGACCCTATAGTTCTAAATATTTATTTGCTTGGTGTTTACTGGTTGTGTGTTCCATAGATTATCTGGAAAGCTCAGGACTTACCAGGTGTCTCTTGCCCAGCATGTGCTCACCTCCTGACCATACTTAGGGAAATGATTTTGGGGTTTAAGGGAAATGTCATTTCCAAGTGGACTGAAGAATGGGGCTCATCCAGGAGGAGCATGTGTGTGGCTGTAGGGCTCTTACTGACTGGTAGCTGAGAACAGAAGTGATATAAACTCAAAATTGAGCTGGGTGTCTTTGCTCCATGCGGGATGAGTATCAGGGGCTCACCCCCATTTTCTCTGAACCTCTGCTGCATGTCTTTAGTGGGGTGTATGAAGCCTTTCTTCCTGGCAGTGTTATGAAGATTTGGTGATGGGGATAACCAAATTGGAACTGGTTATTGGAACTGTTCCTGCCTGGCTGCTTGTTGTCCTGCTTGTGTGATACAGTTCTCTGGCACTACTTGACTTCTCTCGTTGTGGTATTGTTGGGTACCGTTACTGTCTAGATCTCTAACCCACTTTGTTGGCTTCTAGATGCAGACAAGTGAGAGTCATCCTCTGCGACAGTTCCACTTCACCTCCTGGCCTGACCATGGTGTTCCTGACACCACCGACCTGCTCATCAACTTTCGTTACTTGGTCCGAGACTACATGAAGCAGATACCTCCTGAATCACCAATCCTGGTGCACTGCAGGTATACCTAGTTGGCAGCTCATGTATGTGTGACAACTTAAAATGTAATGGGATTAATGAGCAACACCCATGAGGAAACTCAAGGATAGTCTGCAAGAGGGAACCAGGGACTTAGTCCCTGAGCCATGAGACTGTATATAGAAAGGAGTTAGCAAGCTATATAGCCTGTGGGCTATATATAAAACCTCATCGGAACATACTGCAGTGGCATGGTCTGCTGAGCTGAAGGTATTTGCCATCTGATCATTTACAGAAAGCGCACACACTCCTACAATAGGCTTCATAAATAAGTGTAACTTTTTGTCCTAGGCTTTAGGACCATTCAGTATCATGGAGTATGAGATGGTTTAGCAAGATGTTTTGTTTGTGGCATTTAACTCAAGTGAGTTCCCCACCTTGCTTGAAGATGCAGTTGAGCAACAAAGTTTGTGTTAGCTTCAAACAATGACAATGGAGATGTGGGTACCTGTGGGAGAACTGAGAGATCCATGGTGAAGGCAGCAGGTGATGATGACTCATGTCTCTGTTTTCTAGTGCTGGGGTCGGAAGGACAGGCACGTTCATTGCTATCGATCGTCTGATCTATCAGATAGAGAATGAGAACACTGTGGATGTGTACGGTATCGTCTATGATCTTCGGATGCACAGGCCTCTGATGGTACAGACAGAGGTGAGGCCCCATCTGCATTTGAAATTTTGCTCTCCCCGTCTGTCTCTGAAACATCAAATGGAGTCACATGTTGGGCTTGAAGCATTGGACTCTTCTAGATATTTTTGACTCTTGGTTGTATATTTCTTTGCAGGTTCTAATCTAAGTTGTAATTAAATCACGTGACACAGTAGCACCAGTGGGAGCACACGTGACACAGTAGCACAGGTGAAAGCACACGTGACACAGTAGCACCAGTGGGAGCACACGTGACACAGTAGCACCAGTGGGAGCACACGTGACACAGGAGCACCAGTGGGAGCACACGTGACACAGTAGCACAGGTGAAAGCACACATGACACAGTAGCACCAGTGGGAGCACACGTGACACAGTAGCACCAGTGGGAGCACACGTGACACAGTAGCACCAGTGGGACCACATGTGACACAGTAGCACCAGTGGGAGCACATGTGCAGATAGAGAGTCTTTACTGCTTCTGACTTTTGAAACAGTCTTCTTTAAGATAAAGAGATTGCTTATTTTTATTATGTGTATATGGGTGATTTGCCTATATGTATATCTGTGTATCATATGCTGGTAGAGGCCAGGAGAGAACTTTGGGTTCCATGAAAATGGTTGGGAGCTGCCATGTGGGTGGTGGGAATCAAACCCTTGACTTCTGTGGTGGTCTTAACTGCTGAGCCATCTCTCCAGCCCTCAAATGAATCTTTTTAAGTCTTTTGGCTTGGTTTCCAGATTTTAGATTTGTAAGACTGGTAGTTTTTAGTCTTTGTTTCTAATAAGATCTGACCATCTTTAAGCTAGGAGAACAGTCTCACCACACTTACTGAAGCACTAATGCAGGAACCCTTACACACCTTACACAGCCTTGAATGTTAAAGATTCTCAGGGCTCTAGCAGGGTGGCTGAGCAGTGCGAGGGTGCGTGCTCTCTGGGATGTTTGCTCTTCTTGGTGTCCTTGGTAAGCTCATATCTGAGGCACATTCTCATCACAGTGTGGTGGGGAGGAGCTTCCTCAGAGGAGGATATTCCTGGACCAGGATGAGAGCAGAATATTCATTTTGTTTCAGACTGTTACTCTGTACCAATTTAGAAACTTATGAATATGTGCTGTGTTTGAGTCTAGTAGGGAGTGTTCTAGAGGTCTGGATACATCGTGTGCTTTTAGATGAGTTGCACGATTGTGAGAGAAAGAATGAAATTTTGCTTCTGTGTTAGGTTTTCATTTCTCTGCTATAGTTTTTAAAGAATTAGAATAGAAATCTTATTATCTGTCTGCAGAGTCTTCCCTCATCTCTCTTTTTCCATTTTTGTGTCCTTGTGTGTGCATGCGTGCATGTGTGTAACTGTCTTAGATTACTTCTCCACCTTATTCAGTGATGCAGGGTCTCACAATCAACCCAGAGCATGAAAATAGGGCTGATTTAGTTAGCTGACTTGCTCTGGGGTCACATTCTTTTTCTGAGGCCACACCCACCCAACATTTCCATGGGTTTTGTGGATCTGCCATTTAATCCTGCTGCTGCATGGCAATATTTTAACCACGATCCACCTCTCCAGCACCCGATCTCTTTCTCAAATTTCAAAAATAATATATGAAAAATTCGTGTTGTAGGACTACACAGAATACATTTCCCCTCTCCTTTATTTCTCTAACCCACTTCCTAGAGGAAGACCATATTCACCTTTAGATTGTGCTGTGGTTTGAATTCCCACAACCCCTGGGCTCTGGGTTTGAGCCCCAATTGGTGGTGCCACTTTGAAATTGGTGGTGCAACCTTCAGAAAGTCAAGCCTTGCTGGAGGAAGGGTCACTAGAGGTGGGCCTTAAGGTTTTGTATCTGGGTGCCATTTCCTGTCTGCCTTCTGCTTCCTGGTTGTGAATGCAATGTGACCAGCTTACGGTGCTCCTGCTGCCATCTTCCCCCTATCATGATGGGTTGAGCCAGAAGCAACACTTCTTTTCTTAAATTGCTTCTTGTCAATTGGTCATAGCAGCAGCAGGTCACACATGACACAGCAGGCGCTGCAGGACTCTGTATGCTGTGAATATGTGTACACATACATATATGAAATATTTATTTGGAAAAGTTCAGATCATGTTTTACATATAATGCTTCCTTATGAGGTTTTCTCTCACAGTACCTGGTTATTTTTCTGGGTCGGCATATGTTTTCTGTCTTTAAACAGCTACCTCTAGATTCTGAACTTGCTGTGCTGGTTTATTTTGCCACGGTTTGGGAGATAGCAGCACTTATTGGTTCTCTCTCCTTGTCTTTCCTCCCAGGACCAGTATGTGTTCCTCAATCAGTGTGTTTTGGATATTATCAGAGCCCAGAAAGACTCAAAAGTTGATCTCATCTATCAGAACACAACCGCAATGACAATCTATGAAAACCTCGAGCCAGTGAGCATGTTTGGAAAGACTAACGGTTACATCGCCTAGTTCCAAAGCAAACGCTTTCCGTCACACCCACAGTGAAGGAAAATGCCCTGATGTGGACATGTGTTTATATGTCTCAGTTCTCAGTTCTTTGTTCTGTTCTGTTAGAACTAACTACCTTGGAGGGCATGAGGCTGTGCGTGTAAAACATGGCAGACAGGGAGTTAGGGCTGTCAGGAGCTATGGACAGGTGATGTATCAACCAGCTGCATTCCTGATTACCCATGTGTTGGCTTCACTTTTTTTCCCCTTGAGAATTGTGGAAAAACCAGGAAAAGTGAGCTACAATTTTATTTTTCTTTTCCAAACAGATTCGTTTTCTCTCTTTCTCACTTTCTCTCTTCTCTTCTCTTCTCTTCTCTTCTCTTCTCTCTCTCTCTCTCTCTCTCTCTCTCTCTCTCTGTCTCATTTTTTTTAGGACTTTTCTGTGATTCACATGCTAAAGTCAGGCTTGTGTTGGGTTGGATATATTTTAAGTATCAGAGGTCTATTTTTACCTACTGTATCTTGGAATCTAGCTGATGGAAATACATGACTGTGGGTGTTTACCATGCAGGGAGGGGCACGCGGGGCCTTTTCTGCCTGGGTTTCTATTTGAACATGTGCCTTTTTTGAATTATGCTTCCACAGGCAAAACTCAGTAGATATCTCTATTTTTATATTGAATCTCATAATTGGAGTATACAGAATATTTAAATGGTAACTTAGTATCAGAGGTTTGCCTTCTCAGTAACATTCCTGTTCTCATTTGATTAGAGGAGGCTTTCTCTGTGACCCATTTTTCGCATAGATTTGTATTCCATTGTTTTTCTTTTTTTCCCTCCCAGTTTTCTTCAAAGACTTCTGTTGGTGACATTTTCATCCCATCGCTTGGTTGAGAATAGAAATTTAAAATATCACCACGATACTCTCTGTGGGGTGGGGTGGGGTGGGGTGGGGTGGGGTTGGGAGAGAGAGAAATTGTCATACCACGGCATACACCCCTTCCCACCCCGTCTTCTACTTTCTCTCATTTCCGTCTTTGGTAAGAAGGATTATTTAAAGGTGCAATATGTGACTTAGTGGTTCACGATGCTCTGGGTTTTTAGTAATGTTTTACTCAGGTTGGCATTTTACATATGTCTGTGTTTATGTGTGTGTGTGTGTCTGTGTGTGTGTGTCTGTGTGTGTGTGTGTGTTTTATAGCATGATGATCTGTGAACATTTCAGTGTGAACTCAGATTAACCCCCTTTTCCCCTGAAGTCCACTGGCTTTAGACTCTATCTGCAGTGACACACATCAGTATCTACTGTATATATAAATACTAAACTCTTACACCAGTCATTCCTATGAATTGAGGTGTACAAAGTTTGATTTGTATCAAAGATGTAATTATTATTTTTAAAACCTCTTTTCACTACACTGCTGCTGTAATTACTTTGAGTTTTAAAGAAAATGTAGATTCTTGTTTTGCTTCAGGTGTGTATTCACCAAGAATTTTAGAATTTATGAGGATTATTTTATTGGTACATAATCTGTAAACTTCTCAAGGCATTAACATGGCAAGATTTGTGTCTTTTATTTTATATTGTGGCTCAGGTTATATTTGAGGAAGTTTTGAGTTTATTCTCTAGTAGGCAATGAAGTATATAAGGTCTTATGAAGGAATCACAAGTCCCTGGAGCCCTGGGGCTGTTTTCTGCTGGATGTCATGTTTGTGACAATGGTCTCCTGTTGAAGATGAGAGTGGGTCTTCTCCGAGGTCCTGGCCACTGTGGGCCCCGGAGTAGCCTTCTGGCATTCTGTACTCTGCACTTCACTCAGCAGCACTTTGATGACTGTGTGTACATGATCATGAGTATTTGAGGGTCATAGAGGGTGAACCATGGTGCACTTAAAACCCTTGGTGTGATCAGAGTTCCAGTGCTGTATGTGTTCTGCCGCCTTTCCTTCCAGGTACTGAGAGAATTGAAAGGAGGGCTCAGAATGTCGTCGTGCTTTGGGGGAGAATTTTGCTTCTCAAACGGAAACTGCACTTTTTGCCAACTTCTTTGCGTTTTAATGTCCATTTACTGTCAGGTCTTTCAAGGAAAGGACTGGCCAGGGCGGGTTGGGCCCCTTGACTCCACCTCACCGGGTACTTTGACATTGCAGTTGTGAATCAGGGAAGCCTTGCTGCCCTAAGGTGTGAAGGAGTGAAGCTGAATGTGGACTTATTATCCCCAAATCCCATTTAATCTGACCCCTAGCATGTGCTGACTCTGGGGTGCTATACAGATGGACCTGTCTGGTGATAGTTCTGTGCACCACCACCCGACCTGCTCAGTGTGTTAGGAACCACTGTAGTGAATAGTAGGGGGTCAAATCTGGTGCAGTGCCTGAGCCTTGCCTCGACTGCCATAGGAAAGGCGGAGGAAAGGACTTGCCCCAGCAAAGTCCTGTAAAAGATTGGAGTCTCTTAAAAAATGAAAGCAACATAATTATAAACATACTGTATAAAAACACAGAAATCTTCTCTGCTTCTGCCTGTGTGGATCTAGAAAGTCCTTAGGCCCCAACCCCAGCAAGCCACTCTCACATGTTATTCCCAGGCCCAGGGGAAAAAGCTAGTTAGTGGCAGAGAGATGGAGAGTTCCAAATAAACAGGTTACACGAAGGTCACCATGCCATTCTACATCCGGAGGAGGACTGTGTGGTGGGGTTTGCCTAGCACAGTCAGTGGAAAGGGAAGAGTAGCATGTTGGTAAGAAGATCATGTGACAGAAGCTGAGGCTGGTCAGAGGTGAGGGGAGAGTACTTCTCTCTGTATGCCCCCAGCTCTCAATGGAACTGGGAACCAGAATTTGAAGAGTGGCGGAATTGGAATGATGGAGCTCCCTGCTCAGATGTAATGGCTCCACAGAGCAAAACAGCTGGTGTAGGACTCACCGTCAGTGAAAGGGCCACAGACTAGTGGCCAGCTGCCGTGCAGGACGTGGGCCATTGATGTCTTCTAAGACAGAGACTTTTCCTCCAGAGCTGAATCTAGTGAATGGGCAGCAGAAGGACATTTGGTGTCTGTTCTCTGAGGCCACTTTGTGATCTCCAGCTAGACTTTGGCACGTGGACCCTCTGGATTTGTGTTTTGTGAAGTTGGAGGCTCTGGGGGGTGGGAGTGGGGAGGAGGTAGGGAAGGGTCAACTATGCATTCATACTTGCTTTTCTGGGATGGAGAAGCCCAGTCTTTTGTAATGCTTGATTGCAGTTTGTGCTTGTTGAGCTAAACAAGCCTGCTGACGGAAGTTGATTCACCTCAAAACAAAGTCAGAATTCTGTGTTTTCAGACTACCATGTAGCAACTGTGTGTTTAACGACTAGCGTTTTCTCCCTGGGGCACAGAAGTGTTGATGCGGACTTTAAACCGCACTTTTCTTGTAACTATTGTGGGATAATGCACATTTCTATGTCTGCTATACTTGGCCAGAGTATTGCTGTTGGTTGCTTTTTCTTTAAAGGAAAAAAAAAATGGCCTGCAAAAACTTTTTTAAAGACTTACAAATACCAAATATAAAATATGTCAACACATTATGTCTTTGAGTCTTTCTTTCCTTTATCCCCACCCCACTTATTCTATGTCTCTACCAAGTACCAAGCGCTTTACTGATTTGTTATATTCGACCAGTGCATCCCTAACAAAATCATATCACCACTGGAATTTTTTGTATTGTTTTCTAGGGTCACCATTTCAGATACCACAGATGGTGGTTTAAGCCAAAAGAATCATCTTTTTACAGTTCTAAGAGATCCAAGGGTGGCAGGTTCTCATCTGGTCTCCCTGTCAAGATGTGATCTTTCCCCTAGGCTAGCCTTCTCTCTGTCCACATGTGGTCTTTCCCCTAGGCAAGCCTTTTCCCTGTCAAGATGTGGTCTTTCCCCTAGGCAAGCCTTCTCTCTGCCCACATGTGATCTTTCCTTTATACAGTCTGAGGATTCTAGTGGTACTGGTTAGGGCCTTATCCACACTATCTTGTCTTACCTTAATTCCCTCCTTAGATTGCTTCTTCAAATAGAGTCACATTTTGAGGTCCTAGGGGTTTATACTTCAAGATAGGAGAGTTAGAAGATGTGGCTGTGTTCAGGCCTAACAATGTTACTCTCAGTTTGGTAGGCGTATGCTCACCTTAGAGGGTCTTTTGTTGAGGTGTCTAGGAAATTTCATAATTATTGGGATTTGGTGACAGGTTGTTACTATAATGTGATTGTTAGTGTTTTTCTGTTGATTTTAGGCCACTACTGTGAAAGGATCATTCGACCCCTAAAGGGTCACGACCCACAAGTTGAGAACCATTGTGATTTCATCATTTGTGTCCCTTGGTAAAACAATATTTTTGTTGTTGTTGTTGTCAAGACTGGAGCTCATGTAGCCCAGGCTGGATTTAAACTTCTTATGACCTTGAATTTCTAACCCTCTTGCCTCCATTTTCTGAGTCCTGAGAATAAGCATGTATCATCATTCCCAGGACATTTTTGAGTCATTTAACATGAAATAAAATTTCCATGTGATTTCTTTTAGTATGTCCAAATTGACTGACTCAAGGTCCATTTTTTTTTTTTTTGTAACTTTTCTGATTAGGCAGAAAAGTACAAACCTGGGACCGCTGGTAATGTTGTTGTCCAAACAGCCTCAGTCTGTGGCCGAGGCTACAGTGTTTGACTTCTGATGTACTGGATGTATGGTGATCAAGAGTCATACCAGTCCAAACACTGAGCAGTCAGGGCTTTTCCTCCACCTACATGCACCTCAAACCTAAACTGAAGGAGTCAAGACCACAGAACTTTTCCTTAGTCAGCATTAGGTGGCAAAGAGCTGAGTTTGTCATGAGAGTGAAGGGCACAGAACTGTTGTCTTATTGAAGACGTGGGTCTGCACAGAAGGGCATGGGTTGATTTCTTGCCAAAGCCAAACAAGTTTAGATCCAAGCTAAGTGGGAATCCTGCCTTGACCCCTGATGTTACCAGGCCATTGAGTCTCTGACCTGGTGATTACTTGAGGGTAATTTTGTTGTTTATCAGTGTCATGACAAAATGTCTAATCGGAAGTAACCTCAGAGGAGAAGGCTTTGTTTTAGCTGACAGTCATCATGGCAGTGGGAGAGGGTGCCAGTCACATTGCATTGGCAGTCTAGAACCAAAGCATGAGCAGGAAGTAGCGCCAGGTTATAGGGAACCACTTCTTCCCAAAGGTTACCATACCAAACAAGAGCCATACCATACCAAACAAGAGCCATACCATACCAAACAAGAGCTGGTGTGCTGCTGTGCTCAAACACACGAGTTATGGGAAACATTTCACATCCAAGCTATAATATTCAGTATGAGAAAAAAGATGGCAAATTTTTGGCATATTGTAATTTGATGTGGTAACATGATAAGACACTTTATGTATTGCCTAGAATGCAGTGGTGGCTACTCAACCTCAGTTTTATGTCTGTTATGATGGCAGTGAGTTGTACATTTGTGGACAAGCCAGACATCTCTTGTTGTGGAATTTGACCTATCTATAAGCAAGACAGGAAATTAAAGAGAATCCAGCATGAATATGCTGACACTGTGGCTAGAACAAGTCAGCTTTGAATTAAGGGGGCAAAAGGGTAGAAGAGTAGAAAGAAGGAAGGGTGTAGCTGAGACTCCGAAGCAGGAGATGATTTGGCAGTCTGAAGAGTAGTTGGGAAACTAAGCTTTCTGGAAATTAGCTGGTGAGGAAGCACTGCGTACTCAGTCATGGCAAGGAGACAGGGAGTTGATCTGTGTGTGGCAGGAGTCATCAGAGTTTTAAGCTGCATAGAGTCATGTTTGTGCTGGTCACTGTATATACACTGAGCTACATGGGAGGTTGTTTTGGTCTGGCTTCACTATGGTGTAGGAGATAATGATATGTACATGTGTCCCCCACTTCCACACATTGGAAGCCTTTGGAGTGGGGACTTTTGGGAGGTGATTCTCTCAGAAGGATGGAACTACCTAGGAAGTTTGGACTGCTTGAGACCCTCCCTCTTTTAATGAAAATAAATTCTTCCATATAATACATCCCAACCATAGTTTCCCCTCCCTCCACTCCTCCTAGAAGCCTCCCTTCACCTCCCCTCTACCCCAAATCCACTTTCCTCTGTTTCCTCTTCAAAAAAGAGCAGGCCTCCAAGAGACAACAGCCAAACAGAACTAAACAAGAAGCAGTAAGACAAGGCAAAAGCCTTCATATCAAGGCGGACAAGGCAACGGGTAGGAAAGAGAGTCCAGAGAGTAGGCAAGAGTCAGAGATGCATCTGCTCCCGCTGTTAGGAGTCTTATGAAAATACCAAGCTAATGGCCATATAATATGCAGAGAACCTTGTGCCGACCCCTGGAGGCCCCCTGCTTGTCATTTCAGATTCTGTGAGATCTCGTGAACCCTACTTAGTTGATTCAGTGGACCGTGTTCAACTGGTGTCCTCCATTCCCTCTGAATCCTACAGTCTTTCCTCTGTCTTCTGTGAAATTCACTGGGTCTCTAAGTGGAGGGTCCTGATAGAGACTTCATTTTAGATTCTCTCTCTGAATTATGCCTGGCTGTGGGATTTTGCACCTACTCCTATCTGCTTCTGCCTCTCCGATGACAACTGGGCAAACCACATATCTATGATCATAGCAGAATATCATTAAAAGTAATTTTATTTCATTGATTTTTTTTTTTCCAGTTGTATTAGGTTCTACCCAGTCTTTGGTTTCTGACCATCCAGGCAGTATAGGCCATGGGCTCCCTCTAATGGCATGTGCCTTAAGTTAAACCAAACATTGGCCACTCTCACAAGTTCTGCACATCTTGCAGGCAGGACAGATTATAGGTGGAGGGTTTTGTGACTGGTTGGTGTCTAGGCTTCTCTCTGTATTCTGCAGAGTATCTTCTTGTACCAAAGAGACTAGAAAGTAGGGGGCGAAGGCTCCAAGTGTACATCAGCATGAGCTGTGTGGAAGTTGTTTTTGGCAATGGGGCTCCACTATCAGTTTTCAGAGAGTGACCTTCTGTCCTAACATCAGCCTGTGTTGTATAAGGATCTCTGTGGGACCTCCTCTGCCAACAACACAGATGAATGTTGAGAAATGCAAATCAAAACTATGTTGAGATTACATCTTATCCCTGTCAAAATGGCTAAGATCAATAACACAAGTGACAGCTCATGCTGGAGAGGATGTGGGGCAAGGGGAACACTCCTCCATTGCTGGTGGGAGTACAAATTAGTTCAACCACTATGGAAATCAATATAGTCGTTCCTCTGAAAAATTGGAATCAATCTATCTCAGGACCCACTCTTGGGCATATATCCAAAGGATGCTCAAGCATTCCACAAGGACACATGCTCAACTATATTCTTAGTAGTTTTATTCTTAATAGCCAGAAACTGGAAATAACCTAGTTGTCCCTGAACAGAAGAATGGATAAAGAAAATGTGGTGCATTTACACAAATGGATGCAACTATAAAACATTCATCCTGGATGAGGTAACCTAGACATGAAATAAAAGTATGGTGTGTACTCACTCATAAGTGGATACTAGCTGTTAAGTAAATGACAGTCGAGGGCGGATCATGAATTTCCCTGGGAAGGGAAATAGAATAGAGAATATGGGTGGCCTGGGGATGGGGGGATGGTCGTGGGAGGGATCAGGTGGCAGGGAAGGGATGTGTGAGGAATTTGGGGGCATTTGGGGGATGGTGTGGAAATGTAGTGCAATGGAAACTTCCTTGAGTTTGTGAGGGTGTAGTAATGGAGGCAGTCTGAACCTGCCACCTTTTCTAGGCAGGCAAGGCTTCAAGTGGTGGGGACCACATGTTAGGCTTTTATGATAGTTGACAACTGGAGAAGTTTCCTCAATGACAGGTAAATTGTCCTGCTGAAGGCCACAGTTTTAGATCTTGCCACTAGATGGAGCCAGAGCACTGGACTGAAGAAGCAATTGTGCAGTGTAAGGCAGGAAAACAACCAAGAATCCCCTAAGTCAACAAGGAAGTGCTTTTCGTGGGCAGTCGGTAGCCTTTCCAACCCGGCTTATTGCATTATTTTTGCCCATTATATCTAGCCTTTTCTCGGTTAACTCCTGCACCTGGACTAGCCCATTTCTTATAATCTGTGTAGCCCACAAGCTGGCTTACCAGGAATGATCTTAACCTGCGTCTGCCTGGAGTGGGAGAATCATGGCGACTCCTTGACTCAGCTTCTTTCTCCCAGCATTCTGTTCTGTTTACTCCACCCACCTATGTTTTAACCTATGAGGGCCATGTAGTTTCTTTATTGTTTAATCAATGAAATCAACAGATAGAAAGATGACCCTCCTCCATCATTTCCCCTTTTTCTGTTTAAACAAAAAAGAAAGGCTTTAACTTTAACATAGTAAAATTATATATAGCAAAACAGTTATTAAGCAAGAATCACAGTTACAATATTTATATCTATTTTTATCTTTTATCATAACAATGGAAAACTATAACTACCTATCCATTCTTCAACTCCATCAAAGACTCCAGAAGGATATAATATTAACTAAGTAAACAAG